CTTGCTGAGGTTCCATCTTGGTATAAGGGGAGGGGGTGAGGTGGGGATTATGATTCCAAGGATTAGGATGGTGGGGCGGTGTTGGGAGTGGGGAAAGTCTCCAAGGATGAACTTCGAGTTGGCGATGGGAAGGTCGTTGGTGGCGTTGCGGGTGACGAAGCAAAGATCCGGATTATAGTCCCTATTCCAAGTTCTGGAATGGAATGTGCCCGGTTGCTTGGGGTCGAAGAGCAGTTGTAGATTATTATGTAAAGCCCACTCTGTTATTTGTTCCCCTGCTTCGTCGTTGTTTGAGTAGCCCCAGTCCATATGATGGCTATTAAAGTCCCCCATATAGATGGAAGGGGACGGCGAGGCCGGGATGGCTGGAGAGGGCCAGATGGTGGAAGGGGGCTTATAGATATTATGTAACGTGACATCTCCGATGCGCACTGCCTGCGAGAATTCTGTTGTGAGACTCGCACAGGAGGTTGTGACGGTGGCGTATTCTGGGGAGACGTACGTCGCCAAGCCATGACACGCGCTGGGCTTGAAGTCAACGAGGACGAAGCCGGGGATCTTTAGGCGCGCGTCCTGCGGGTTATCCGCTTTTGTTTCCTGCAGAAGCAGGACGTTTATCTTCATGGGGGCCAATATTTTCGACAAAACTTCTCCATTGGCCCTAGATATGCCCTCTATGTTGAGTTGGCATATTTTTAGAGGAGGAGATGGACTCACTTGTAAAAGCAGGTGGTCCTGATGAGGACCGTTTTGGGTGGTTGGCTGACTGGGAGGGTGACAAGCACCCTTCAGTCGTCTGGTTGATGGCATTGGTCGTCAACTAGGTGTGAAACACTCACTAGAGGAATCATCTCCCGGGGGAATCATCTGCATGTCTGAATCGACAGCAACCTACGTTGGTCCCTCATAGGCATGTCCCGCAGCCCCACGTTAGGCCAACTAAGTGCGTCATGACAATCCGAGGATTAAAGGAGGTTTCGATCATCAGATTTTCTGTACGATTTCTGTGATTTCTGTTCAACTTCTTTACTGGCGACTTTACTACCGAGATAGAAGACTGTGCACTCTCTCGCGGCCGCCTGGTGCAGTTATTACAGCTGGTGCGCGACGCTTTAGCGGAAATGGTGGAAATGCTAGTCATGTCTCGTTCTGGGGCTTGTTGTACAGCAATACCTTGTTTAAAAAAAAAAAGGAGGATCTCTCTGGATCTCTCGTTCCATGAGTTTTTAGTCCGTTTTGACTCCGTGGTTTTGGATTCGTGGATCGTAGGATTTTTATTGTCGCATTTGAGGCGCCAATTTATTCATTTTTAGTACCTCCACCAGGTATTATGTGAGACCAGACTTTTCTGCATGCGATATTCTATTCATATGACACCCAGGCAAAAGGAAGATTCTTCAGAATTCTATTAAATTACTGTATTTCTATGGAAATTCTATAGCAATCCATCAAGAATCTTATCGAAATTCTAGAGAATTCCACGAAGACACCGTCAAGAAATGCTACATGAATTTATATTGCATTTCATGAACTTATGAAGGAGATGCAAGTAGGGTTCCCAAAAGAAACTTTTTTTTCTTTGACTTCGTTGCTCGTCATCAATTCTTTTTTAAAAAATGTGAAGGGCCTTTTACTAGTAGAAGGCTCATATCCGGTTAATTTATGAACTCGTGAAAGCATTGGCATATATAATTGGTATATTGGTATATATAATTAGAATATATATTTTTTAAATCCTCATGGGCATCATACATCGGAGAATCCATCCTGGGTGGTGCAATATTAAAGAGCTGCGCCGACTGGGTGTAAAAAAAAAATAGAACATTGGATGGAACTGGACGAACTAAAACGTCTCCATCTGACCTCCCATCGGGAGGCCAGAGCCTCGACCTGGCTCATAGGTGCTGGATAGGGGACGTCGCATAATGCATACAATACAGTACAGTGTAAGTACGATAGCAGGGAGGCCGACCTCACCGTTTGTATCGCGCACGGATGGGTGACATGTACTGGGTCTTTAATTTTATTACCTTTGCTTTTATGTATGTCTTTAGGTTCCTTTGCCGGATCTTCAATTTCCGCTCTTCTTTTACATGTTTTCGATCCAATATAAACTGCCAACCTGGAACGTTTCATTGCAACCACCTTCCACTCGAAGCAGTGCAGGCGACAAGACCGACCTAAACACACCTTTTGCGCTTCATGCTCCCATTGTTACAAGAATTGCCAATAATTGTTACAACAATGATACCTTATTCATTGTTCATTAGCTCATTGTGATGGCGTGCTGGCCACCCCAGATTTTTCGTCCACTCGCCGCCACTGTTTACCCACGTGATGGTATCTTTCCCGCTTGCGCGGTTTCTAGCCCCTATACCAATCTGTATAGAGATGAAATGAGTGGTTCCATGACTAAAAACTTTATAGAAGTCTATAGGTCTCTCTACAACATGCCTGGGTGGAAATCAAGTTATCCTTGATATCGCAATACGATTGTTTTCTATTTTCAAATGGTAGGGTGCCAATTTAGTTGTAAAAATATCTCATCAGCACCCGAATGAGACTTTGCTGCCGGGGTAACATCGCGCATGACAACCGCACGTATAACATGAGGTTGGCAATGATGTCACGCAACTAGAAGTAGCATGACGCCACAAAAAATACCCAAAATATCCAGAACCCAATGAATGAACCACATTGGTAGATGAGGTGGCTGAAAACGAATATTTAAAATGAACTTTATTTTATCTAGATTCCTTCTTACAAAATGAAAAGGATTTCCAAAATGTTTAGCTCAGCACCAGAGAAACAAATTTAAAAAATGGGTTCCATGCGTTCACTTCCGAGAACGCATGGAACCAGAGCGAAAGCCGGAGAACCCCAGAATCCCATACTGACGGGGGAAAGTGCAAAACGGGGGGTGCACGGAGCATCTTCGCGTCGCGATGGAGGCAGCGAGCCGCAAGACGGTGGATGGCATCCGAGCGGCATGCACTGAAGTTGTCCGTGGAGGGCATGCAATTGTGGGGATGTATGACGTGAAATTAGGGATTGTCGTCATGGTGAAAGATTGATCTCTCGATGGGATCATTCAACGAAAAATATCTAGGAGCGGAAAAGGTTCAAGTAGATCCATTCGCAAATAGCAAAAATTTGTCATTTATTTATATCACATGAATTCAGAGCAGAACAGGAAATATCAAAGCGATTATTGGCGATTAGCCTGACAACTTTCCCAGGGCTTGAGCATTTTCCTGCAACTTTTCCAGCAAAAAGGAAAGGAAAGTCACTTTCCAGGAAAGTGACTGACATACAAAATTGACTGGAGGAATGAATGCGGTTCGTCTTTCGGCAATTTTCGACAGGTCGTGAAAAAATGTAGTATTCTTTGTTAAGGCATTTTACTGAAAAGTTTTTATTATTATTATCGATGCATGTCAAATAAATAAGAGCGCTTCCATATAACATTTGGTCAAAAAGGAAACAGTTTTCTTAGCGGACTGAAATAACGGCAGGAACCGCATTTCCCGTCAAAGTTTTTCGTCACCCTATTGAGGGAGGAGTGGTTCTTTTACACATGAGCTTGTACGATGCCGACTTCAAGTGGAGCCAATGGAGCCCTTCCCGGCAAACCATCTCGTGTTCTGAGCTCGACGAATAAATGTATTGCATATGGTAAATGCGCTGCTGACGTCAGTCTCAAATGAAAAAATTGACCTTCATTATTTTCATGGACCAATGGCTAACAAAAGTACGATTCAGCAAGTTTCTAGCATTTTTATGAGCGAGAGTTTAGAAGCAGCGCCAAGCCAATGCCAATTGAGGAGAGCCGATCACAGACGGGGATTCAGAAGAACGCTGCTGCAGCTCTGCGTTTCCTCTCATGTCGTTCCTTCACTTTAATAGAGTAGACAGTTGCAACTTAGAGAACGGATCGCTGAACTTTTCCGCCGTGCCTATGATCATATTATATAATATGAGATAATATGATAATATGAGGATCATACTATGTCCCATTAAATAGATTTCCGCCAATATGTCATCCCACATTAGTGTCTGATTTCAACGGTGGGAACCAGATAAGGGTTCAACTTCAATACTACGGCCACAGGACGAATGTTCCTTCCACTAAGGACTCAATGGGAAAAGGAAGAGGACACTCATCACTCGTTATTCGAGATCCGGGACGTCTCCCACAGGGTATCCTAGGTCTTGGAGGACGTGTCCACACATTTCCTCGATGTGTGCGATCCGCTCCGGTTCCAATTGGCTGCGCCAATGCTCCGGGTCGAAAGCAGACATGTTCCGATAGGTGGAGAAGTATTTATTCTGGAGTATTTGATTCCCCGACTCCCCTCGGTCGAAATGGGCCTCGATGCGATCCTCGACTTCCTTCGTGTAGGGGATGTTCATGAAGTCGTAGAGTTCCTCCATTGCGGCGAGAGGATTCTCCACCACATCCTCGTATCGCACTCTCCTCCTCCTGTAGACAAAGAGGTTTTGGTGCAATGGGAATCAGCGTTCAACGTGAATAGGAGCTTATAATTAACCCAAAGTCTTCATTGCGTTCATGGTTTGAAAGGGAAGAAGAGAGTTGCTGAGGTCGACCCTTCACTGAAAAGCACTTCCAGATAGGTGGTAGAGCTCTTTCATATGCAAAAAAACCGCTTGCATTAATTGCAATTAATGCATTCTTTGCAGAGCTGTAGCTGTTGAAAGTCGATAAGGGACTTTTGACTTACCCTGTAGAGAATGAAATTATACATTATACATTAATTATACATTAATGTACATTTAAACGAGAACCCAACCATAAATGCAATAGCATTGCAATTGAATATGAAATATGAATTTAAAACCACAATACCGATATTTTCCCATTACAGTGGTAGCATTTTTGGTCCACCCTGTATAGGAGAGAAGAGCCAGCAAGGCAATGAAAGCCGCTATTAGAGGTGAAAAGGATGAAATCTCTGATGAGAGCACATAACAAATGTAGGTCATTGGAAAAGGACGATAAATGTGACTCAATGACCAGTCAGCCATAAAACTGTAGGATGTGAAAATTCCGTCTTTATCGAGAATTTAGATAAAGACATTTCCAATAATAAAAAATACCGTGGAACTCCAAGAATTTTACTGTGAGAAATACGTTCCAATCCTGACTCCACTACCACACGACAATATTCACCACCGCACATCCCAAGAGAAATAACAACGCCATCACACCACATTTAAATCGATCTCTTCCCCCACCCACATCCCCCACCCACATCCCCCACCCACATCCCCCACCCACATCCACACATTAAGCGTGCCGCCATCACGGCACTCGGACATACCGCTGCCGCGAGAGCGAGTCGATGGCGAGGATGTCTCTCCACATCCGATCGCAGATCTCCCACGAATCGTCCTTGAAGTTAACCTCGTTGGGTTGGTTCTGGATGGAATTGACGATCCCGCGGGGGTCTCGCACCAGGTGGATCACCTGATTCATCAGACGTCGGCGTCACTCACATAAGGAAATCTTGGGACCTGTTTTCCTTTCTTTGATGTAAAGAAAATGTTTCATGTTGATCAATTATCAAGTCAGGGATTGCTTCTTTCCCTCCATAACTCTCTCCTGCCAAAAAAAAAAAAATTTTAATGAACAATTTGCCGAGGAAGTTCAACAATTTAGCGTCATTTGGGGATGTCTCAACCTGATGTTATTCTGCGTAAAGACCAATCTTTCGACGCATACAGCTTGAAATTCCTCCCATACGGAAATATCAGTTTGGAGCCAGATATGGAGGATTACAACCTCAATGGAAAAAAAGGGACTATTTCCGTCTTTCCACCTTGAATTCTTCCATAAATCTCCACTGATACCAGGGGGGTTATGACAGTTTTGATACTACTACGTTCTACGTATACGTTACATGCATCTCAAACGCCGTTTATTCCAACGCCATTCTATCGCCGCTCGGCGAAAACCAATGCAAAATTCACAGTTTGGGCACCTTATGACTACCATGCCGACAATATTCCCTGCATATCCTTCTCTGATTCCGCAGAAATTTCCATCCACGAGCGAGGTAGATTCGCTGGGTGTCCGCTAGCCCACCACGCGAGATAAATGGGTATATGGCTGCCTCTATCGTGGCTTAGGGTTTATTTGCATGTGAAACAGCTCCGGCACAGATACGAATTCCTAAGAAACTCTATCAACACGTGCATTGCACCTGCTAGCAGGACGAACCGCTTCCTAGGACAGCGGAATGAGAAACAGGCATGCGCTCGGTAACGGGATTGTAAAGGGAGAATTGATGCAACCAAATCTAGGAGATGGAGACATCGAAGCCTCTAACCTTAATCTCGGATCGACTGAACCTGCACTGAATCCTGCAGTGGAGAGGAATGCCATCGACATTCTAGGCAATGGCTTTCCAGCGGGAGTAAGCCTGGAGGCCATCTGCTCCTATACTTCTCCCCAAACCTCATTCCCCTATCATATATTCTCATTTCCCTACCGGTAGGAGTTTTCAAGGTCGTATAGCGGTATCAAGAGGCGATAGCCCCCATTTGGATATCACGTGTCGAGGTCGAACGTTCCGTAATTTTAGGGTAGGCCTACTCCTCTCAAAGCTAAATATTTTTTTTTGCGATTTGTTATTATTTATTATTATTCATTGTAGCATATCCTAGTTGCTTATTATCTAGTCCCTTAAGTCAACATTTCCCCCTTTCTTGCTTGCCCCTAAAAGCGTCTAGTTTCTTCTTTAAAATAGTCACGGTCACCCCGTCGTCCTCTAACGCATTCCACGCGTTTTCCACTCTGCAAGTTGTCTCGACTTGAGCCACACCTGCGGTTTACGCCACTTGAGTTGATTACCTCTCGTTCTTTTGCTGCAATCGAACCTATCGACATTATCTATGCCATAAATTATCTTGATAGCCTGGATGAGATCGCCTCTCTCGCGAGCACCAGCCCTTCTAAGCACTTCTCGTACGGGTCCCCTAACCTCCTTTATCGTTCTTGTGGCCCTCCTTTGAACCCCCCTCGAGCACCAAGAAGTCCCCCTTATTTGTAGGCCTCCAAAACTGGAAGCAATATTCCAACTGGGGTCGCACCAGCGCCGCATACAACGTAAGAACAACGCGCGAATTCATACTTGCAACTGAACGGCGAATGGCGAGTTCTGTTTCATTTGGCCACCGTCGCTTGCGCGTGCGAGGAAAACTTGCGGTCTTTGTCGATAGAAACTCCTAGATCTTTCTCTCCGTTTGCCTCCCCAGTTATCCTCGTCACACGCGTCGAGAGACCTACCGTTATTTCGACCGACGTGAAGAACTTTACATTTACTTTTATTAATCCGAATGAGCCATTCCACTCGTCCAAAAGACTCGCTCGGCTCTAGCCCCATCCCCCTCCCCCCTAACAGAAAAATCTATTTTGGTGACGTCGGAAAATTTACTTATTGTACCCTCTACGCCTAGATCCAAATCGTTTATGGAGACGAGAAACAGAAGCGGTCCAAGGACCGAGCCCTGAGTGACCCCGCTTGCGACACCGACCTCCGTCGACGCTTCCTCATTTACTCGTTGCTCTCTTCCCGTCAACCAGTAACCGATCCACTCGCTCGTCATATCCTGCATCCCGTGCGCCTCCAGTTTAACCCGCAAACTCTTGTGAGGAACGGTATCGAATGCTTTCGCGAAATCTAAATAGACGATGTCCACGGGATTCCCCTTATTCCTCTCTTCCGTCGCCCAATCGTAGCATTCGAGCAAGTCGGTGAGACTATTACAACGCCTCCTAAAGCAGTGCTGAGAGTCCCGGACGAGCGCGTTACCCTCGAGGAAATCCAAAATGTGGTCCCTTAGGATATCATCGCGTGAACTCCAATCCGCCACGAGTACTTTTGTTCTCCTCCCAGGAAAATATCTGAAAGTCGCTTTAGCTGATTGATGACAAACGCGGATATTTCTGTTTCGCAAAACACTTGAGTCCCATAAAGCCTGTCTGCTGTTCCTTCGATTACCAAAATGTCTGGATTGCGCTCCAGCCAATCCATGACATGGTGGGTGGCAGGCAGTCGGATGACCTTCTGGACGATGTAGTCCAGCTGGGAGGGAACGCACGGAGGATCAGCAAACCCCTGGTGAATCTTCCAGTTCTCGTACGCTTTCCCCTTCCCCGATTCCGCGTCCACCTTGCTGAGGTCGCAGTGGAAGAGGCTCTCTAGGATTTCCTCCGCCCGCTTGCTGTAGTTGTACGTAGTCCTGTCCCAGTTTTTGACGAAGAACAGCGGCTCGAAGTAGTACCTACGGACGGGTTACATGAAGTGGGATTCAATTATATTATATTCAATCCTGAATTGAATATAAAACCAGGATAATAAAACACGGAACATCGGAAAACTTCTAGTAAGAGGGATAGGAAGGAAAAATATCCACCTTCGAAGATACACTTTGAACAAATACTGCAACTTATTTGCAATAATGAAAATATTACGTATTAAAGAGGAGTCACCTTCTGTGACTTCAGTCTCACTATATCCACGAGGGCTTTTGGGATATATTATGCGGTTTTGGTCTCACTCCCTCAGTCCTGTTTCTTCTTCCCACTCAGCAAAGTAGAAACGTACAATTAAAGGTACAGATGTGAGACGTACATATATGTGTCCTTCGGGTCCGCATGCGTACCTCCTTACATCCCTTCGTGTGTATGCCGTCCAACCGTCCAGACGTACACCATGGGTACGTTGCAGAGGCAGATGTCTGGGTTTCCAATATGATACTCAAATTGGGCATAATATGGCGTTCATGTTCCGCCGAACATTCGAACTCAAGTCAGGACGCACCGGACCTTAGGAGAAGAGTTTACTTCCTTACCTTGTATTCATCTCGTCATGATACTCGTAATGTAGTATTTGGTAAAAGTATAATTATCATGTTTCAATGGCAGTCAATGATATTGGATTATTTTAAATGCACGAGGACAGCGAAATGCAAAATTGACGGGTTAAGAGGATTTCCTCTCGGACTAATGAATTACTGACCTTCAATGAACTTGAGTGTTAGTCCTTGAAATTTACGTAGAATTGCTACCTACTATCTCCATGATAACAAGAGAAGGCGCTGCTTACGAGACAGCCAGCACTTCCTGTTGCGTCGTGGAGACCTTGGCGAGTCGTCAGCGTCTTATCAGCGAATGTTCGCCGACTTGTCGGAGACGTAGTGACGGTTGATGGTGTCATTAAAGCTTCTCGAAGTTCCTCAAAGCTGAAAATTGAGTTTCACAAGCAAGTTTTTCAAGCGCCCTTAAAGCCCGACGCCACACAAGGCAATTTTTGTCGTGCGACCGTCGCTCCTCACGATATTGCTCCGTGTGCGGGGGTCCTGCGATGTATTCCTGTCCTAATTCTACCATCGACCAATCACGTTGCTTGCAGTTGTGCCCCGGGGGTGACCATCTGCGACGGTCGCACGACAAAAATTGCCTCGTGTGCGGTGGACTTAAGCCCGGGAGGAGGTACATATTAGAACCACGCACGGGCTGCGACCCGACCCGACCCGACCCGTGGACCGTCTTGGGCCAAAATCCCCAAAATCCTCCGGGTCGAGTCAGGTAGGGAAAAGTTGCATTCTTAAATTTTTTTCGCTTCTCTGGTCTCAGGCCATGTCATGACTGGAATCTTATTGCAAGTAATTCGAGTGAAGGAAAATAATTGTGTGACCATTAATTTAACTGAAGGTTTGAGGAATCTAAGCCGGGAATGGGGCAGTTGTTGCTCATCGAGACCGGAATCTGTATTTCTCTTTTTCTAATAGTCAGTCAACAGTCGACAGCCTCTTATTTTTGCATAGCAATTTTGAATTATGAGGAAAGCTTAGATTGAAGCGTTCAAATTTTGCTCGGGTGGGACTCTGAAGTTGATTTGAAATTCGGGATTCAGGTCGGGTGCGGGCCATGGCTTGAATCGGACCTATCGGGTCGGGTACCAGAAAATCTGCCAGTGCACACACGGGATCCTAAAGAAAAGACCCCATCCGTCCCTTCTGAATAGAGATAAGAACGGCACACATGTGTACCTTATTTTGCTTCGGTACCTTTAAGTAAACGTATTTTACGACATACGTACCTCGTACATACCTCGTAACGTACAAAATATATACCTCACTGTACGTTTCTGCTTTGCTGTCTACTACGATAAGAGCGGACTCCATGGTATGATGGGAAAAACGTACTGATGCCATACATCCCCAGAACTCCTCAAGAAACTACTTTATGAACAAAAGTTTCAATACAACGATTACTGTGAACATCGAAAATTGCTATCAACCGCGCGTGAACAGCAAAAAGTCCTAATCGAACGGCCCTGTGGCCTCATCGACATTAAAAAAAAATCCTGATTTAGTTCTTAACTCCTTTTTACGATGCCAATGCATGTCCATTATGCCTTAAAAATTAACTGTAACTTCTGTAAAATCCGTAAGACGTTTCATAAGGCCTCTATGGAAAGAGAGTGAAAGAAAATAGCTCCCTACCCCAGCAGCACAAAGCATAGATCGACGTTGATTGAATGCTGATTCAACATCCGGATTCAATGCTTATTGAGAGGCTGAGAGACTCGTAATTCCAGGCGATTTTTCATTTCAATATTCTTTTCGATGCCCCCACAGTTATTTTTTAAAGGTTGGATATTTAAAATATAAATACAAAGAGCAAAAAAAAATTGTACTGTAAGATAAGGTAAAAAACCAAACAAATTGAAGGATTTCATACTGAAAACGGTAAAAAAAAAATATGAAAAACAGACAGTAAGTGCAATGAAAGGAATAATTTGAAGAGAGACCAGGACAGATTGGCGGCAGAGAGGAGACTGCCGACGAGGGAAGACCCAGATCGGGGATAGGCGAAGAGGAGAATCTTGTAAGGCTTCTCCCGTCCATACAAGCTTGTCTGATCTTGCCAAGAGACGCCATTGTCGCAGGATGTCGGAAGCAGTTTACCGATCCATCGCCTACACTCAGAGAAATCGGTGAATCGAGACGATATACTTCTCTCAATTTTCGCATTTCGATTTCTTTTTCTCAAGAGAAAAATACATCAGCTGGATTTTCGATTTATATCTCTCGCTTCCCGACCGTGCCGGGTCGCCTGAAAGGCGTTTGCAAAACCAAAATGCGTCTATAGCAGAGTCGAGAGGGTGGTTTGAGTTGCCTTGCATCGTCTAGACGCATGTTAACCTCCGTATTCCACTTCGTGCCGAGGAAGCCTTCCCCCTCTCCCTCCCCCCCTGAACCCTCGGGGCTATGCATTGACAAGGGATTCACAGGCAACCACCTGAGTGCATGGCCTGTTCGCCACTTCACCTTCCCTCCGACCCGCGCGAGTAGCACGTGCGTCTCGAAGGGATTCCCATGTAACCGCTTACTTCATTCTTCGAGTCCAGTTTCATACGTTGTTTGTATTCCGTTTGGTGCGTTGGTGGTGCAACACATATCGCATTCGGGCTCTAAGTTCAAAAGCCACTATATTCCCACAATAGGTTTGTCTAACGTTAAAGAATACCAGTATTTGTAGCCTATCATCTTAAATCAATTAGTGCACCCGCAAATTATTTTCGGATTGAATTCATAGTACCNAAAAAATTTGTCCTCCATGTGATGCGTTTTTACCGCATCCAAAATTTGTCCTCCATGTGATGCGTTTTTATCGCATCCAAAATTCGATGCGATAAAGACGCATCACATGGAGGACAGATTTTTTCGCGAGAAAAATGCATCGAACTGAGGCACTGAATTTTCTGTGTGTACCCCAGCCCCAAGCCTCCCCTGTGGCACATCACAAGCAATCTGATCGGGCTAGAATGCCTTTGCGTTCGTGGCGCTACTGCGGGACTAACTTACATGATATTAATAGTTTTGCCTAGATACTGAAGAGTTTCCTTTTCGACAGCAGAAAATATACCGAAGGGTCTTCAGCCAACAAGGATAGGGGAAGGGGAGGGGAAGTATTGTATCCTGTCAGAGGCGAGAGGAGACGGGCCACTCGGAAAGTGAGCAAGCTTTCATTTCATTGCTATACTGCTCTGTCCTCTGCAAGGGTATTTCGTTCTGACACCATGACTATCTCCGGAAAATTTTCCCAAAATTCTTCCTTGCCCATACGCGATCTTAGAATCACAAATATGCCAAATTTCGTTGTAAATTTTCCAAGAATTTAGAAACGAAAAATATTTGGAACTTTACCAATGGCTTGGGCATAACGAAAGAAAACGTCTCAAAGAAACTTCTATTTTTACCGATTATAGCACTACATCAACATCTTATGAAAATCACTACATTCTTCGCAGGAATTTTTTTTGAGCTTTCAGATCCATTCGTCCAAAAGGACCTATATACATTTTCGTCCAGACGCGAGGCAGACAAAAAAAAATTGGATAAATTTGATGGAGAACTTTGTCCTAAGCGGTCAACGTGTTGCGAACGGCATCTGTGGCAAAATTTCTAGCAGACATTTTTATCGATTGAACCAGTCCGGCTTGATATGCTTTCTGCTATGACAGTTCTTCCTGCTCAAAAGGACTGAGTAATGAGATTGTAGCAGAAGTTGGCACTGGTATGCATAACGCTAATGGGTCTGTCAACACCAAGTGGTCCTCGGATTTTTGCCGGAAATTTTCCTAAATATGGAAATATTACTTTCCATGTCACTCCGGATGTCACGTCCCATATGGACAATTACTGTAGGAATTCTTCTGGAGTAATGGACATTAAATGGCAAAGAAAAACTGCATTTTGATTTAATGTGCTCGAGTAAACTATGTCGATCGAAGCCCACATCCAGGTGACTCAGAAAAAAAGGCTTCCTTAATAATGGAAAGGGAGCACGGAATTGAAAACTCACGGAAAGGGGATAAGGGAAGGATGACAGAAGCAAGAAAAAAGCAGAGGACCAGGTAACACAAGATCCCTCTGCCTCTCACACGGCTCATTCTGATAGCGACTGATGAGATGCGCCATCCATCCATCCATCTCTCTCCTAGTACGCAGAGGAAGAGAGAAAATTTTCAAGGACGGACTCAGATATGGCACCATCATGTGCCTCGGCCTGATTTCATCCTCCTGCTCTCGCTTTTCCCTCATTTTTCTCCCTCATTTTTCTCCCTCATTTTTCTCCCTCATTTTCCTCCCTCATTTTCCTCCCTCATTTTTTCCCAACCAAGGTGCACAGAGTAAAAGAAGTTATTTGGTGCCGAAAAGTGTTCGAAACTACCAATGGACAACGGAAAATGCCGTCGGACAACCTTATAAATATCTCGGTCTCGGTCCACCGATCCGGCGTCGTCCCAACCACGCTAGCCCATCGGCTAACCCCACACTAACCCTAGGGCTGAAAGCTTTCTCGCCATTCAGATGACAAGATTGGCTCTCATCCCGTCCGGTTTCTCCCGGTGTCCGTCGCCTTAGAAACCTCGGTAATTCGATCCGTAATATCGGTAATCTCGGCAGTGATAACTCGGTGATAGGTGGCACGACGCGTTATTTTGGTCAGTCGGAATCCGGAAATACGCGAGGTGAGCCTGGATTATCATCATTCCCTTCCCTCATTATGCAGGATTGGTCTTAATGCGTTATAGTGAGTGCTTAGTGCTTTATCTCATCATTCACCTGTCATAGCTACTATTTCTCACTTTTACTGGTCCTTGGGAAAAGGAGATTCGATTCATTATCTCGCTTTTCTTCGTCCTGCCCTAGAAATGCATGGCAGCTATCCCAAACGGCATGTTTATGTTAATTTTACGTAAACTGAATGTACATTTTTTGTCCATTTTATATCATTTTTACGCAAACAATGTTGACATTTCAAGAATGCAATAAAATTAACGTAAATTTTACGTAAAATTGACATTCCCGTTTGCATTCCAATCAGCATTTTTTACATTCATTTTACGTAAGATTTATGTTAATGTTCCCCTAGGAATTCATGCGTGTTTAAAGAGTCAATCAGTACCATTGAACAGAATTGACATACTGAATCTCCTAATCCTTTACATTCTTCAGAACCCATCCTCACCATCACTCAAGTGACCTCCTGCTGCCTCCTCCCGTACTGAAACCTCGGGAGTTGAAGTAGTCATTCAAAGGAGCTCTCTTCCTTTTAGGAGAGAGTACGTATAGTACTTGCAGGGTTACGATTCACTCTTCCCTAATCCCGTGCGCTGCTGTAATAAAAAGCTTAACTTCTGCAATTAATGACTCCCTGAGTCGTATATTATTAAATATATATAATAATTTCCTGTTTTCCTTATATATATTCATGGATTGCATAATAAAAAGTAGAAGGATGGTAAGAAAACCTGATACTATATCAGGAAAACCAGTACTTAATAGTCATTGTAGGATCCAGGGAACAAGGGTTCCATCTAGTGAGGAATCTTGGTACTGAAACTGCAGGATGGTCAGCTAAAGTTTCATATGGATGGTGTGGTGTTAATTTTTCATAAACTTGATATCATGTACTTCACGTCAGATGGAGTGACGTCTAGTTGATGTACACGTACACTTTGGTGACGTAAATATAGGAACGTAAATTTTACATAAACGTGATGTCATTTTCTTGGCAATCGCAAGAAATTTACAATTTTTTGCAAAAAAATTGATATCTTGTTTACGTGAACATGCTGCTTGGGATGTCGATATTTTCGTGTCTCTCACCTAGGGCCTCACCGAGAGCCTCACCAGCAGGGATGGGGCGGAGAGACGCCGCATCACTTCGGTGAGTCCTCGCAGCTCCTTTTTTTTTTCCAGTGTGTCTCCTCTCTTTGACAAGGACGTGCATTCGCAGGGAACACTCTTTCACTCTCGGATTTCATCAGAGGTCCTTCACCTCTTCGCCATTCCAAAATCTATTCCTAATTAAATCCTCAAAACGTAAAGGCCTGAGTCGGCACGGATCTAAAACTTCGGACGACTTAGGAGTCGCTGGCTTAAATTTGTTCTATATTCGACCGAAACTACTCGAAGTACTGGAAGTAGCGAGGTCAGTTCTTGGGACCCAAAAAGTACAGGTGCGTCAAATTCATCGGTACTGAGTTTCTTGGAATCGTTTCGGCAGTTTTAGATTTTTGGTGCGCTGCATATCTTCATTACATGAACGTTTGAGTTATTGTGTGTTAAGTGCGAGGTACCTAAACACTGCAACAATAAAATACCATTAGCAACCAAACACTTTGAGAATCACACATTCGATACCAGTTATTTCAAGTGTTGTGGGCATTTTGGGAGAACTACTACTAATTTGATCTCACAATCGTCTCTCTATGAGCATCGGTTTGACGGAGATAACCATCATGAAACCAGATCAATTCTATGTTTAACGAATATGGCGCAGGTCGCCCTATTAAAAATCACCCACGACACCAGCATGTAAAACAGTGGCAGGCTCACATCACTCACAACATGGGCAGGATCACAAACCAGTGGCATTTCCCTGGAGTATCCCAGGACGTCGATGACGCGTCTGCACATTTCCTCAATGCATTAGATCCGCCCGAGTCCAACTGGCTACGCCAGCGCTCCGGGTCGATCTCGGACGCGTTCCGGTAGGTCGATTAATAATTGCCATATGTTTATCGAGACTCCTCAAGTCCTCGACTCCCCACTTCCGCTCGGTGGAAATGGGGCCCCATGCGATCCTGCACTTCTTCCGTGTAGGGGATGTTCATGAAGTCGTGGAGTACCACCGCCGAGAATGAATCCTTCACCACGTCCTCGTAACGGAATACACACCTCCTGATCGGGCGGGAACAGTGAAATGAAACAGGAGTTACACTGAATCGCAGAAAGCTCACTTTGCTTTTCAAAAGTTTGGAATTCCATTTTGGTCCAGGAGGAAAACCGGGAGGTTCACACGCGTCAGCTTTTTCAATTCTCACTCAATTGAAATGAAATACAACTTTGAAATTTAGACGAATGACCTTGAAAATTGGATTCAAGGTATCAATTTGGGGCATGTCGCAGAACGATCAATGCCTCGTTCTTTCTTTCATTTCCCTAAGGCATCTGAGCGCTTCCCTCACGGCAAATGAAACGGGTCCGGACTGAGAGCATGAATTCCCGGCACTGAAAGGTTTGGAATAAATGTAGTAGGAAAAACTTTTTCTCCAGCTGACGAACGGCAAGGACCGAATGTAAAATCTTTAAATTAATCTTCAGGTCGACAGTTCGTCATCCTCTCCAGAGATGCTCTAACGATGTCTCACAGAGATGTCGCCAGCGGCAGTGTCTTCGGTCCGTCATCCACTCCAGAGATGACGCCAACGACTGGGTCCTCCGTTCTTGTTCCCCTCCAGTGATGGCCCTTGCATTGGTGGCAAGCGATTTAACTAAACTGTGTAATCTTAAATACACGCAATAATTACTCAGATCCATAACTTATTCTCAACTCTTACAATGAACAAGGACTAGGACTTACCCTTCGGTCGTGATGGAGTCGACGGTGACTGGTGATGGAGACCACGTCGTGACTACTCAGGATTTCCGCTTGGAACAGCTTTTATACCCTCCATCTCCTTCTTCCATGCAGTGGTCGACCTTGGCACTCCCCCATCCCACGCAGATATCCATCTCCCCTACTTCCGGCTTCCTTTCCACCTTACCCCTTGCACTGATTACGAGTCCGTTTGCGAACGAATGTCTTCCCCCTCATATCTCTCTGTCTCTCAAAGCACGCTATGCTCATTTCACGGTAGACATAACATTTGCATTTTCCCCATTTATTGAAATGATTCCTATTTATCTCCTGGTATCGAATGACTCCAGACTGTTCGCCATTGAACAGGGGGTAGCCATGAAGAACCCATCGAACTCAACAATATCATCCAGCATGAACCTCCAATTCGCCTTTCCTTCCTGTTTTAAGGTACAATGGGAACATAAAATTCTACCCCATTGGATCAAAATGCCGCTTCATAATTGTCGTAAGGGACCATAAGATAGGGCCTTGGATGCGATTCCTGACTGCGGACCTTGACCTTTGAACATGACCTCTGACCAGACTACATGGCAAGACCGGGATTTACCTCCAAGGATGAAGGAAGAAATCATGATGTTTCAGGCGTCGAATAATTTCTGTTTGCATTTCCGAAATTTCGCGGTGATTTTCCCCACAAACAACCAAGGAGGCATAAGATCACGGTCAAACGAAGGTGGAGGCAATATTCCTCCCAGGAATGCTACGCTTTGAATGAACTTTCCAAGGGAACCCTTATTGGGATCACGAATCATAAATAAATGTGTCCCTGCAATCCAATCTCGTTTCTATCAATTGATCAGAGAGCATTTCACGATTTACGCCATGAAAAAAAGGAAAAAAAAAAGAACATGAAAAACCCTAGAGAGTTTCGTTTTTGGCCACGAAATCGCTCACATTTTATTACTTTACTTCGAATTGCCCTGTTCAAGATTCGTGAGCTTTGAAAAAAAAAGGCGACAGGGTGCAGGGAACTTGAGAGAGGCGGGAGTGAGGTCCAACAAGGAAGAGCTACGCGCGAGGATCCAAGATTGCATCCATATAGGCAATTAAAGCCCAGCGTTCTCTATTTCCTGGGAGGAAGTTAGCAATCTTGGTGTAATTTCATCCCCGAAACATCCCTCTATGCGATAGGCACCAAAAATCCAGTATTTTCGACCGATGAACAGAGGAAATCGACCCGATTTGACCGAAATGGCCTCCATTTTCAGCATTGACCACAGTAAAAAGCAATTGGCTCCGAGCAGTGTCATCGGATTCTCATGAAAATCGACACGAAGCTTCTTAAGAGACTTCTTAAGTGATCTAAAAGAGGAAAATTTCAATTTCGAACTCGTTTTCGAGCAATGTCCGTCAACCGCAAGTCATTTCCAAAAAAAAAGGCTTTTTTAGTTGGATCGTCAAACTTTGAGAGGGAACGGTTGAAGGCAATTATGCACAACTCCGCCAAAAGATGGACCAGGTCAACCACCAAAAGGAATTGCATCCTTTCGTCGTAGAAAATTTCTAGAGGAATGAGTGAGGAAAAACGCGATTCTGAGATGGAATAATTCTCAGTTGTGGCGCCATGGCGTCTCGAAAACGACAGTCACATGCATGAATTTATTTCTTTACGTTCAGCGCAGTATGTTCCAAAGAGATAGGCACAGCTTTGACGTTTCTGCTGTGAAGGAATGGGGAGATACAGATTTTCAAAGTGAGGAATGTAAATCGTGACCTTTGATCTCAAGTCATGGAACCGGGCGTGACCAGAGTCAGGAATCGGCTCCAAGGCCCTTTCTGGAGGACCTTTACAATAATTAAAAAGCGGAATTTCGATCTAGGTGGTAGAGTTTTATTTTCCCATAGCACCTGGAACCAGGACGGAAAGGTGAATTAGAGGTGAAGAACAGGATCATGCAGAGTTTATGCTGGATGATATTGCTGTGTTCAGTGGATTCTTCTTCGTCCGATCTGGCTAACCCTTGTTACAGGGCGAAAAGGCAGGTGTCATTCAATACCAGGAGTTAAATATGAAACATTCAGTAAGTGGGGAAAATACAAAGGTTGTGCAAATGTCATGCCCATTGTGAAACGGGTTATAGCGTGGTTTTGATGAGACGTTGAGAGACGAGGGGGAAGACACTCATTCGCTATCGGACTAATCAGTGCAAGGGGGAAGGTGGAAAGGAAGCCGGAAGTAGGGGAGATGGATATCTGCATGGCAAGGGGGATGGGTAGGGGGAGTGCCAAGGTCGACCACTGCATGGAAGAAGGTAATGGAGGGTATAAAAGCTGTTCCAATCAGCATATCCACTAGTCACGATGTGGTCTCCTTCACCATCAGACGTGGACTCCGCCAGCAGTCACCGCCGTCACGACACGACCGAATGGTAGGTCCATAGGCTTGTTCATTGTAAATGTTGAGAGTTATGAGTGTGAGTAAACTTTGCGGGTTTCCAATGCTTGGATGGATTTTGTTGGTGCACAGTGGTGAATGCTTTCCATGACGACGGGGAATGTGACCAGAACCTATTTTCAAGGGATGATCTCCAGTGCCAACTGTGCATACGCCATCTAATGGAAGGGAAGACAAGCTGAGGGTCTACTGCTGGCTCCATCTCTCGAATGGGTGACTGATGTGTGACCCTGTCGCTGGCCTCATCTCCGAAGGGGATGCGGAACTCAGGGACTCTTCGTCGGCGCTGTCCTTGGAGTAGATTGACTGACCCTGTGGATACTTCCTTCATCGCACATCTGGAACGTACTGGGAGGGAATAACGAACTGAGGATCTATTCGCGGGCAGTATCTCCCGGAGGAATCGTCAGCAAGTGTGCTGCCAGGGATCCTACATTGGCAGCAGACTTGCGTTGGCTCAACGTTGTGTCTATGCTTGAATTCAGCATATACGCTACCCCTCCGAGAACGAGATAGAAGATAAAGTCTGTGCATTTGTGGTCACCCTGTGTCTGGGAGAATGCATTACAGCTGGTGCGTGACGCTCTAGCGGAAAGGCCCATTAAAGTCTCGTTCTAGGGCTTTTCATGCAGCAATATTTTTAAAAAGACCAGATGCCGAAATGGTTTTATATATTCTGTGCGTACCAGCGCTGTGGGGGCGAATCGACGGCAGTCCTTGCCGTCCATTTGGACGTCCTGTCCGCCCACATACACTCGCATGTCGTCGTGGTAGGCGTTTCCCCGTTCGCCATCGAATTCGCGATCCCGTTAGGTCCCGGCACCAGGTGGCACTGGAGTTTTGTTATTTTTCCTCATTTTGATGCATCTCGGTTACATGCTCTCGTCAAACAATTGTTAACAGTTAATATTGAATACGTTCATTTTGAATCTGCAGAGACTAATGGTTCTGGCATTTCCGCTACATCGTTCATTGATGGCTAATACATTGACGACCAAATCCGAGTTTCCGAGAATTAGAATGTTTAACAGAGCGCTATCGCTTCTATCGCTCTGAAGAAAAAGTTCTCGTGTATGTCGATAGATGGCATATCCTGTCGCATGGAGAACAAGCCGCCAAGCGAATGCCTTCAAGTGCCGCTCTCGAGACGGAGGTACACGGCGAGGAAACGGAGGAATGGGCGTGGTTCTCTAGGGCAGGGGTTCTTAATCTGGGGTCCATGGAAAATTAAATACTTGAAGGTAGATCCAAAAAAAAAAATTCCAGGTGTTCCAAAGTTTCTGATAACCAGGGGTGGGCGTAATACTTGAGGATGTGGGGGGTCTTTAGGTGCAAAACGGTTATGAACTTTGGTCCGGGTCATGGCTGCTCGCGAATGCGTTAAATCATTAATGCCATTCAGAGGGGGGGAGGGGGTGGGGAAGAAAAAAAAAACGAAATGAAATTCACGTCTTCCAAAAGGGAGGTTCCGTGTTCTCCACAGCCCCAGGGAATTGGAGCTATTTGCTGGAGCTATTTTGTGTTGAGAGAGTTGTGTTGAAACCTGCCGAATTTCGTTCCGGTAGATGCCCTCGGGGAAGAATACGAGCCTGAATTTCGCTGAGGGAAGGGGTCGAAGAAAGGTAATAAATGGTGTTAATAAAGGTAATTGAGAGAACACTTGACCAGAAAAATGTGAAACATTGAAGACTGAAGTCTGAGTGAGCTTATCGGAGGACGCCCAGCTAGTGATTAGATTATGAGGAAGGAGCTGAAGGACTTACATAGTCGGCACTTCCATTGAAGTCTCCCGACTGAAACGTCAAGATCGAAGGTCCACGGTCGACGATATATAACATGTTTTTTTAATTTAAATTGATTGCTATGAACTCGAATGAACATCGCCGTTTCTTTCCCCGTTCGTGCCTCGAAATTTCGTGCTGCGAATTCCCTATCCTTGCCGAACTCTCTTTGTATCTTTGCGTTCGAAACCACTGAACAACTTTTTGTTACTGAGCATTGTGAGCGGAGAAATTTATTTATTCTTTTTTGCGATTCCCTTGGTAGCGATTCTCTGGTTATTTCCTTGAAATCAAAACGACGAATAATTTTTATACATTGTGCGCATAATTTGTTCAGAATTTGTTCTTTCGACGTCCTTTTAATATCCCATTCGACATGGGATACGACGTACGAACCGAAACGGGTTCGACGAAAAATCACCCGCGAACCGGGCGGGAAACACACTGCGGGATCTCATCACTCGTAATTTCAGATCACAAATCGATGGCATTTCCCCTGGAGTATCCCAGGACGTCGAGGACGCGTCCGCACATTTCCTCGATGCTCGAGATCCGCCCCGCGTCCAACTGACCGCGCCAGCGCTCCGGGTCGATCTCGGACGCATTCCGGTAGGTCGAGTAATAATACTTGACGTAGTTCGAGCGAGCCTCCTCGAGTCCTCGGCCGAAATGGGCCCCGATGCGACCCTGCACTTCTTCCGTGTAAGGGATGTTCATGAAGTCGTAGAGTTCCTCCATCGCCGAGAATGGATCCCTCACCGCGTCCTCGTAACGGACTCGCCTCCATCTGAACGGGCGAGAAGAGTGCAACGAAAGATCAACCGCAGCGAGTCATCGCTTCTTTTGTTTCCAAAAAATATAAGAAATTCCACGTGTTGTTGGAGGAGGCCGTACACTCGTGTTTACTCATCAGCTTCCTTTGGTTCCACTTGCACCGTACGTAAGCATTTTTTTAGTGGCGACGGATACTGCGTCACAATTCGAACCAGTGGGAAAATGCAATTTTCAGCGAAAGTCTGCAAGGCTGCAGCGTACTTGGCAAAAGTGCACGTATAGTTTTACTTATATTATAAAAGTGCGCTTACCAAGACGATGCAAATTTTCAATGACGGATATGAATATAGTTCATATGAATATAGTTATATACTGTATACATATATACCTTGTATAGATAGTACGGGACGCACCGGTGCCTTGGGAGCGAATCGACGGCAAGGACGTCCACCCACATCTGATCGCAGATCTTCCACAGATCCCCGTCGAAGGCATGGCTCTTGGGCTGGTTCGAGATCGAGTTCGCGATCCCGCGGGTGTCCCGCACCAGATGGATCACCTGGCACCACATATCACACATTTTATCATCACGAATGCCTGTTTCCTTTTCGTGAGTGACCACACGCACTAGAGAGGTTTTTTTTTTTCTGTCCTGTAATGTTGGCACTTTATGAAATTTTTTGAAATTTTAGTTTAAAAAAATCATTATTGCTTTAATTCCTCGCATGCTTGCATTTGATCTTTTCGTAACCGAGGGCCAACTAACAGATAATTTCAGAAAAATGCACAAGACATCTTCCTCGTTTGGGACTCGCGATTGCCGATTGCCTGCCTTCTTGCCAATACTCCAATGCCAATACTTGCAGAACTCCCAAAACCATCAGGTGTTCCGTGCTACCAATGCATTTATCGTTTCTTTTTTTCAGCTCGCAGTTCTGCTGCTGACATGAAAGGCCGTTGCTCCTTATCTTTATGTCCTCACGTACTCGTGATGAGAACAGGACGATGAAAAGGTCATTTTCGATAAGAAGAGATAAAGCGTGAATTCCCTCCTCATGTGAAATAGGGACACATCGGAACAGTAACGCAACCCACGAATAAGGTCAAATAAGGTCACAGATTGCAGCCTGCAACCCGAAGTCTCCGTTTTTTTTTGTGATGACACTTCATGCCACGAAAAACGGAGAGTAAGAGAAGCGGCGCTCAAATGCAAATTCTCGATCATTTTAGGTTCGAGAATTTTTACTGGAACAATTTCGACTCCTGTTTCTATTTGACATGCCGGGCAGTCTATTTATGAATCAGAAAGGCCATGGTCGTTTTAATTTAATTCGTGATACCGATCCGGCAGCGAAACGTTTTTTACTTTCAATAAGTGAATTTTAAAATGTATGGACCCATAAAATGTATGAGAAGTCCGGCGAAGAAATCAGCAGACTCAATGGAAACGTAGGTATTTCATCGACGACCTTAGAATTTAAATTCCACTGGAAGCTGCTGGTAAAAAAAAAAATCCTTGAATAGTTTAATATTGCTCCTGTGACGGCTTAGCTATAAGAGATCTGGGAAACTTTAGGCCTTAAATTATTTTCCGAAATCTCCAAATTTTTTTACTCACGAGTATGCAGGATCTAGCTGGGCTCTTGAATCGGAGTGATGTTCAGAAACTGCACAGGGATTGGAATTTGGAATGGGGAGACGAGGAACAGGTTCTGAAGTTGAATGAGTCCAATGAATCCAACTCAACGTAAATGTTTTAAAATAAGTACTTAAAATGTCCCACTTTTTTGGACCGCACATCCTGCATTACAAAAGTCAGTTTGAACATAAGAACTTCGGTTATCTTTGCCCCCCAAGACCTTACGTTCGTTCTCCGCCCGAATATCCCTATATCATGATCGTTTTCCTAGCAGGGAAGTCGTGAAATCTAGTTCCTGCCTCCAGTTCATCGAACCTTATTCTGATACCATGAATACAGCACCTGAGCCTGTCTGCACTCATTCAAAGACAAATACTCATTACCAATATATCTGGATTGCGTTCGAGCCAGTCGATGACATGGTGAGTGGCAGGCAGTCGGATGACCTTCTGGACGATGTAGTCCAGCTGGGAGGAGACGCACGGAGGATCCCCGTACCCCTTCCCCTTTTTCCAGGCTTTGTACCTTTTCGTCTTCCCCGCTGCTGCATCCACTTTCCTGAGGTCGCAGCGGAAGAGGCTATCTAGGATCTCTTCCGCCCGCTTGCTGAAGTTGTACGTCGACGGGTCGAGGTCGTCGATGAAGTACAGCGGCTCGAAGTAGTACCTAAGGCCGAGTCATTGCACGATATTTCAAATGCATTCTTAAATTCGGAAATATTAAAATGTAATTTCGAGATCGGTAGACTTTAGCCTTGCATTAGAAAGGGCCAGGCGAAGAAAGACCATGTTCAAATCATTGCATATTATTTGCATAAATTATGCTGTTAATCATTTAAATACGACCAAAACAAACAATGAACTTAAAATTAACGAAGAAATGAATACGAGAGGAATGAAAAGACTTGACCAAAGAAACGAGATGAGGGGACCGTGTCCGGAGAGGTTAACAAATTCGGCACTCTGACGTCACAATTTGTCCAGCGGAAATGTCAAGATGCACTCAAAGACATCATGCAAAATGAAGAGTCGAACAAGCGGGAATCGCAATGGCTTCTATGGTTGGTTTGTTACTAAAACAAATTCCGCAGTTCTGCTATGAGGTTGTTTTGCAAAATTATTTGCTGTATTTGTAAGTGCAAATCTCGAAGTATCGGCTGAGATACTTCCAACCGAGCCGTCGCAGACAAGTCGGCATGAAGCTTCTGACTGAGTAAAACGGTAGAATGAAAAAGCATGGACAGATTTCACAATTGTACATGCTAGGACGCTTATCTTCAATACGATAAAATCTACTGTGATCCGTGGTGGTTCCCCGTTCACACGCACTGCCTTTGCTTAACAAATCGCCGGGGCCAGACCTTCGAGGAAGTATTGATATAAGAGTGTAACGTCTGTACCCCCCCCCCCCCCCCCCCCCCCCCCCCCCCTTCCCAGTTTCAAGAATTATTTGGACAGGCACCTGGACCGATTAGCGGCAGAAAGGAGATCGCCAATGAGGGAAGACCCAGATCGGGGATAAGCAAAGAGGAGAATCTTGAACGGCTTCTCCCGTTCTTGCTCATGGACGCCATTAAACCAGTCCATGAAGCGCAGTCCTCCCTCATCTCGCCGATTTCTCCTCTGATCCACCCCTTCTGCATGACATAAAAAGAAAAGTTAAAAGGTAAATGAGATCACTTTCGATACAACAAAAAAAATTTTGCATTTTAAAAATACAAAAAAATGAGAAAAATTTCTCGCTTCCATATTCAGTCTGACGTCGGGCGGAGTTAGTCAAATTTCGACGTTCGGCGTTTCGGAGGATTTTTCGCCAGCTCGAATCCTGATTATTCGAAATTCCGCCAATCTCGAAGTTGGATGTTTGGTCAAGACAACGTTTGTTATCGTATGTTTGAACGCAAGCAGGAAATAGGATGCGACTCTCTCCTGCCACTTTATTTTTTTTTATTCACCCGAAGGCTAACCAAAACATATCCACCAATGCAAGTATGGCCTTTGAACATGCATTGCTTATTTATGCACGCATAAAGATTCGTAATAATCTTAAAGGAAAAAAAAACAAATGCAATACCCCACGTATATTGCCGATGCAGCTCAATTTTTCCCTTGTTCCATAATATCGAATGGCAAAATTTTTACGAACTTACAACATACAGTGGAACCTCGTTAACTCGAATCCTGATCAGTCGAAATTCCGCTTATCTCGAAGTTCAATGCTTTTAGTCCCGGCGGAATCCAGTAGGAAACCATTTTAAAATATTCCGTTTCCGATATAAAATATGGACACGGAAAATATTCCGATATCTGGAGCCACATGTTTATTCCCGATTAAAAATTTTTTTGAATAGGGTGAAAGGCAAAAGGAGAACAGAAGAAGTCCTTTTGTTCGATTTTTTTTGTTTCTCCCTCCTCCCTCACAGACGCCTGCGAAGAGAATTAAATCCGAGAATTAAAACCAAAAAGAAGAGAAGCAATGGACCGCTCAAGAGGAAACGGAAAACTCCAAGAGTACCGAATTAATTTTGCACTCGAGTTTCATTGAGATGAATAAAATCCAATCATAATGAGACGGTCGTCGCTAGTTGAAATCGGATTCTTGAGGACGGAAAAATCACGGTAGAGGCAATTCCTGATGAGTTGAACTTCGGATGATTCGAGTAAAGGAATTTTTACTGTACCATAAAACCTCTACGTATTTCAAAGGGTTGTCCTAGGAAAAGCCAGGAAATGCTGGGGGTCTCTTATACGAGCATTAGCATTGAAAAAAAAAAGGGAATGGCGTTGGGGAGTTGGCACCATTCATATCAGTGTCGCTGCATCGTCAGAGTTTCTTTTGTTGGTAAAGCCGGGTGACAAAGTCGCAATCAAAGAAGCTGGCCTGGGACTAAGCATAAATACGTAATCGTTCCATAATATTAAGACTGCAATGGAACTAGACGTACAACAAAATTGCGAACGTGTGGTGCAGGTGTATCCCAGCGTTCTCCGCTAATTCACTTCATTCGCACTTGGAAAAAAAAATAGAGGCAAACTGAAAAAAAGGGGAAAGTGGGAGCGTGCAACTTAAGACTCACGGAATTGAAACCGAGCCAAAAGAAAGAAGAGAGAGCCAACGAAGAAGCAGAGGACCATATAACGCAGCGTCCCTCGACGTATCGCACTCGCCATTGCGACTGAGGAGATAACGCGCTGCTACTCTCTTCTTTTTCATACTCTCTCTCTCCCTTTCTACCTACAACATGAGGATGCAAGAGAGAAGTGGCAGGCAGTCGGATGACCTTCTGGAGGACGGGGTCCAGCTGGGAGGGAACGCATGGAAAATCCCCGTATCCCCTTCTCCCTATTCCAGGCTGTGTACGTTTTCCCCGCTTCTGCGTCCACCTTGCTGAGGTCTCAGTGGAGCGGGCTATCTAGGGTTGCTGAGGTTGTACGTCGACGGGTCACAGTCGTTAATGAAGTACAGCGGATCGAGGTAAGCATGAAACAGCTATTGTACAATATTTTAAGTACATATTTAAATTCGTAATATGAAAATTGGAATTTCGAAGATCGGATTGTAGGCGTAAAACTTGCAATGAAAAAACCTAGTAAAGAAAAAGTAGACTCAAACAATTGTGAATTATTTGCCCATATTGCATTAAGAATTTAATGAATGCCTAAAATAACAATGAACTATGAAATGACAATAGATAAATTAATATGAAAGAAATGGAAAAATTAGGCAATATCTATAAAAATAAAAAATGTCAAGGCCAACGAGTATCTGAGCGAGATCATAAAATAGTCCTCTCTAATCTGGCAATCAAAATAAGGATAAGCGAATAGAAAACTATTCATTTTTTTATGTATATTTTATTTGTATATTTTTATGTTTTTATGCATCACTTCTTAAATTTTTATGCAAATTACATAGGATTTTCTTGGCCTTTTGTAGGAAGTCCTTGACTAAATAAATGCATGATGGAATTTACCCTAGAAGATGAAGTTAGATAAGCAGCATGGGAACGATCCTGAGAGTCATCGCCGATTCAGAATGGAAAATGCAAGAGCCGCGAGACAAGAAAAGGCACGAAGCTTTTCGCACTTGGGCTCTCGACGGACAGATGAATTTATTTGATTAATTTATTTGATTAATTTATTTGATTAATTTATTTGATTAATTTATTTGATTAATTTATTTGATTAATTTATTTGATTAATTTATTTGATTAATTTATTTGATTAATTTATTTGATTAATTTATTTGAAGTCATTGGGACTCTGGTCGCCGATTCAAGTGACATCTGTCGCTCAGACTTCTGTGGGCTCAAGTGAATTTTGGTAAGACTCCGCTCGTGATGTCAGGTTCTGTCGATGTTCTTTTCCTACCAGAAGGTAGGATATTCTAGAGACTTCCAGTTTCCAAAAGTTTTCTTCTTCACCTGTTCATTTGTCTCACGGTTCTCTTCCATATTCCTTACTGAATGGCTGCACATCTAACTTTATCTTCTAGGGTAAATTCCATTCTATTTGTATTTCTGCTGTGAGAAGAAAGCTTTGCAAAACAATACTGGAGGGAATGGTAATTGAATTATTACAGGCTATAGATCGAACATGGAGCAATTATGTCCATTTCAAACTGCTGTAAATTAATTTGTCATCTTTATCCAGACGTTAATTAACGCTTGTGTGAATGTCGCAGTTCAATTAATTGTGATGAGCTATTTCAACGAAAAACGAACACAAGGCCGTTGGGGGCAAAGTCAATAGTTCATTGCGCCCAACTGACTCACGAAACGATTTGTTAAAGGAGAAACACCAGGAAAAACCTGTGAAGGCGTAATCATGGTCGTGATGGATCGGAATGTTCCCGATGGCGTTCCCAGCTTGGAGAGGTCCTCTGGCTTCGCCTTTTGTGACACCTTCTGGCGCTTTTTGGCTTCTTTCCCCCTTGACAGGCTTCATCACCTTCACTGGGTTGGTAGCCCGGTTTCACAGGCTCGTGTAAATTATGTTTCAAATAATTAATGTAGGTTTCATTGCTTTTGTATGATTGAGTTGTTTTTTTTTTCCATTCATTTCCACACTGCTTGCCACGTGGGCACAGAACCCCTGGGCCCCGCCACCCGTTCCTTTCTTCACGGAAAATCGACGTGAAAATTTACCACGATTTTGAGACTCTTTAGTGAAAAAAAAAATACCAACAACCTCTCATATTTGCATGGATTTTGTATCGACCTGCTCTCAGCAGAAAAAATCAGTTTTTGAAACCGCAAAACCAAATGTTCAACACCGTGTATTTGAATGTCTCCATCTGAATAAAACGCAATTCTTTTTTCACATGGCCCTTCTGTTCACTGTTTTCGCTCGATTAAATGAAGTCTCTTTGAGAAAGTAAGGAAAAAAACAAACAAACAAATGATAGTGCCAAAGAGCTCATGGAACATTCACGCACTTCAATCTCTTAACGACTTCTTCCCCTCTCAGCGAAGGGTGCGTTACGAACTATGGGTTACGTGCCTACGGTCCTTGGAGGTTGTCGGCAAAGTCGAACGTGATTTGGTCCGAAAGTTCGATTTTAGTCAAATGGAAGTAATCCACAAATTTCGCTTCGTCAAATTTCTTCTCGTTGTAAGGGAGTTTTCCAAAAATCCGAAAGTTTCATCAGGCAACAGATCCACCCATTTCGTTGCAGCGTACTGGTGGGTTTCCTCATGGCCCAGTCTGACCAGGCTCAAGAAGTTGTGATAATGAATATTATTGCGATACGTATGTACATTGAAAAAAGAAGTACACTTTTCATATACAGTATATATATTCTAAATGCATAAAAAAAAATTCGTATTTATTGAATTTACTCTTGGGAAGATGGTAATTGCGGTGATACCAATTTTCGATCAGTTCGACGATCGCTAGTCACCCATGAACACCGTCACGGGATCGAATGAACAGATTGGAATTGCCACCTGGATAAGCCTGTTTTATTCTGAGTCTTCAATTCGTACGTATGAGAGTTCTCCATGTCGATTCAGGCAGGGGCCGAGTCGGAACAACGTTATCTACAGACTACACAGCACTCATGCATTGCAAGAAAAAAGACAAGCGAAGTCATAAAATAGTCGAAAAATAAGAAATGGTAAAAAACAAAAAACAAACAAAGCCAAGAAGCACGGTCAAACATAACCTCAAGCACTCTCGGGTTGGCAGTGATTTTGGAGCCATCACAAACACTACAACAGGTTCTCTTTGGTGCCCAAACAAATTGTTCCCTTGGTTCCGTCGCTCGTGAATATCATCGAGCGTTTCAAGAAAAAAGAAGTATCTTTTAGGCTCTAACTCACAACACCAGAGAACAAAAAAAAGAGAAACGAGAGAGAAAATGGTCTTCGGCATTCCCAGCTACAAAAATGAAAAAAATAATGAATACAACGATGAAGAATAATAAGAGCCTCTCTTTAACAATGTCATTCCACGTGATAATAATTTAGAAGGGATGTCGAGAAGAAGAATTTTAGCACCGAAACGAAAAGGCAGACACGGAGATGCGTGTCGTCGAGGAAACTGGGATCTGAAAACTCGAAACTGTACCCGGGACTCTCAGCTTTCTTCTCGTCGAGTCATATCCATCAAGTACCATGTATTTTGTTCCACACTGACTAGCAAAAAACGGGAGTACCTTATCATGATCGGTATGTTCGGTTGGCTTAGACGACCAAATTCTGGTCTTCTTTCCTCGAGCCGGGCTCGTCCAGGTAGTTGTAACCGGAGGCGCCGGTCTCCTTCCGGTAAGCGCCGAGATGTGGTCCGTAGGCCGGCAGCTGTCCGGCCAGGGTACACGACCGGCAGCAGAAGCGAGCGTAGTACTTGTTTGTGCAGTATTTGCCTTTCACGATCAGTTTACAGTTGGCGAAGAATGCGTTGTCCGTGCAGTTCGGGTGCACGTAGATTCCTAAGTGAGCCCATCAGACAGATAACACGTTATATGAATGAGACAGGTACCGGATTTAAAAATATATATAAATTAATTAAAAAGTGCAGTGCTTCATTCTTAACTCTCATTGAAATTTTTTTGTCAAATAATGTGATTTCTTTTGCGTTCTCATTTGAACTTCTCAAACAATTATTACATTTTGCTTAACTTATTTTTTTTTTTCGGCAGGACTTTCTTTTCTCTGGCAAAAGCTGTCCAAGATGAAGCAGACCTTCGACGGTGATTGAAGTGGCAGCAGTGGCAGCACCCAGTTGATTATCCGCCTCGCATCGATACGTGCCGCTATCAGCCGCAGACGCTTCTCGAATCAGCAAGGTGTCGTTCCCTGCCAACACACGACACAACCCACGTTCAATCATTCCCATCCCAGTGCCAAATCCGGGAGTCGACCCGGGAGTCCACCCGAGATCGACCCGAGATCATCCGCACCTAAGACGACGACGCGCTCGTCGGACTGGATCTGCTGGCCGTCCTTGTACCAAAGGACCTTCGGCACCGGCAATCCTCCCACCACGCAGGGTATGACGATCTCCGCTTCCGGTGGGAAGCGGGTCTGTTCCAACGTGATCCTTGCAGACACTGGAACTGAATTCAAAAATCCTTTCCTTCGTTACGAACGAGAGAGAGTCGAAAAGTTGCATCGGTAATTCTCACATTGGAGATTTCACGACTGACTTTAAAAGGAGAGAGCGAGGTTATTTTCAACTTCATCTCTTCAAAGCACTTAGCCGAATAGCTGTCACATGTCTTTATGAAAACACATGGAGTAAAAGACTTTTCAAGTTCATGACGCAGCCCTGCAGAAATGGCTAAATTTTTGTACTGTTTTTTTTGTCCATTGGACCCAGAAAAATAGTAACAGGGTTAAATATGGAAAAAAAGTCTCTAGTATCATATAATTTAATTACTATTCTTTACTGCAATTAGTATATACTGATTTCTTCAACATTTCTTCCTTTTTTCTTCTTTTTTTTATTATAAGAGGTCATGCGAGAGAAACCTCACCATATTGGGCCCCAGGTTGCGAGGTAGGAGCAGGAGTGGGGGGATAACCAGGTCTAGGTCTGGGAACCGGTCTGGCAACCGGCCTAGGAGTCTGAGGGTGTGAAACGAGGAATTTGGTAAACTCGGCATCTTCGGGCCGGGTCGTATAAACCGGTCCGAACCCTTGCAGCGTCACCGTCCACGATGCCGCCGTCCCGATCCCGTTATAAGCATGGCAAGTGTACGGCCCCAGATCCGACAGACCCACGCGCTGGATCACGATGTGATCCGGATACTGTTCGTATTTCTCGGATCGTCGCGGGAGCATGCGGGTGCGCCGCCACCAGGTGACAGTCGGGCGAGGCCAACCCAGAACGAGGCAGAAGAGCTGGACGGCTTCGCCCAGCGAGGAGACGGTGTACGGTTCCGGGTCCACCACCTCTGCAGCTCGGTCCACCGCGTCTGAGTCCGGTCGTGCAGGGTTAGTCATATTATGGGTCATTCGCACGGGTTCACACGAAAGACTAGTCGGTTAGAGGGGAAAAGGCTACGCCAACGAGGATCCAAAGCATTTTATATACGACTCACCGGTGATCTGAAGTTGCATACGCTGGCTTGCGGGTTCGCCGATGCCGTTGGACGCCGTGCACGTGTAATCCCCGGCGTCGTCTCGCTGAACGCCCACGATTTGCAACGATCCGTCGAGCAACTTCTTCACTCGGCCTTGCCTTCCGCTGATCTGGGCATTTCACATCGATACGACTTCAGAATGTGGAGTCGGCGACGCCTTCTTCCTCCCTCTAATTTTCCTTCTTACGCTTAGTGACGCGAATTTATGACTGACTGGAAGGTCGATCGCCGAATCCATCGCGAGAAGCAGCGATGAAACGAGAACGAATTCCGTCAGAAATGCCTGGAGCAATTGCGAGTCGAGCGAAATGATCACTAATTTTTACTCATCTTTTCTTCTCGGTTACAAGTCGTCAGCAGCCTTTTTTTCCGAACGCATATTTTCTTCTAACCTAATTTTCTAGCGCTACTTGCCTCGTTCGTCTCGATGCACATAGTGAAACTTACTGCTTGAGTGCCCTTCAGCCAGGAGATTTAGTGAAACTTACTACTTGAGTGCCCTTCAGCCAGGAGACTTCGGGGAGAGGATTGCCCCTCGCCGTGCATCGCAAAGTGGCCAATCCTCCTTCTTCCACTCGGACCGTCGGATCTCCAGCCAATATCCTCGGCGCCTCCACCTCTCCTGGCCCTGTTCGATCGCAGATAAGAAATTCGTACCCATTTTGGGAAAAACAAGATGAGCTATTTTTATCAGTCCTTCGAAGCTATCCCAATGCAGATTAACAGAAAATATTGTGAGTGTAAAAAAAAAAAATTACTTCTGGGCGAAACTTCACCCAACGATCCCGGCCTGTATCTCATCCAAACAATCACAACCCGTAACTTCTTGATGAGTGTCCGTCTCCCGCATTGGTCCAGACAAAGTTTGTTATCGTCGAAAAATGAAAGCGGTAGCATACAGACACAAACAGAGACATGTAGTACGCGAGTACAAACATGAAACAGGATGCGACTTTGACTAGCCACTCTATTTTTTTTTGTTGCTCCGAATGAAGGCTAACTAAAACATATCCATCGATGCATGTTTGGGGTTTGAACATGCATTGCTTGTATGCTTTCATGCATGCACGTATAATGTTCGTGACATATTACTAACCTCAAAGAAAAACAAACGCTATATTGCTGATGCAGACAAATTTCTCCCTTGCCCCAAAGTATTGAATGGTAAAATGTTTACGAACTTTCAACATGCATCACATTTTCCCGACAATTTCGCAAAGCAACTTTTAAAAAGATTTCGCAAATTTCGGTCATCTACGTATGAAAGCGAATGAAAGAGACCTCTGAAGTCGATGGGGTACTCGACAGAGGCCGGAGGGAGCTCCCCGGGTCCGAGCAGCGGCGAGACGCAGATGGAATTGCACCCGCTCTTGCAGCACTTCCGGCTCCCGCTGCAGTCCGCGTCAGAGGAGCAGTCGTCCGTGCATGCGCTCGGGTCGGGGATCTCGTTCGGGGAGGTCGGGGGAAGGTCCGGGCACTCCCCTGATTTGTGTTCTGTCGGGAGGCGGTGAAGGAACGGGATGAGAACCACAGAAAGGAGCAATAGATAAAAATAATAATACTGATGAATAGGTATATATTGGCGAATGACAACAGCTGAAAAATTGAAAACTGAAAAAAAAACTAAGGTGAGAAAACATCGAAAGGGCGAACACATGCTGAATGAAATCGAAGCAATCGCAAATACTTCCCCATCACAGGAAAAATGATCCATGCAATGAGTAACCTGTTGGTACGAACCATCTCGACAGCTGGCATGATACATGCTCCCCTGTTGCGACGGATCCCCGTGCGGATAGACCTCCACCCCGCAGCGCCGACCGGCCTCGCAGGAGACCTCGCGGCAGGGGTCGTGGCAGCGGCACGCCTCGCAGTCCCGGCTGTCCACGTACTTCTCCACTCCGTAGGGGCAGGAGAGTCGCTGGCAGTGTTCCGCGGCCTCGCGGCACTGCTCACCTGCGCATCGGTGTGATCGTTTTAGGATCGGGAGTGGCTATGTTCTAGCGTAAGGTACACGTGAAAGCTGTGCCAGCACGATGGCCATGCGGGAAAGCTGGCGATCGGTGTTTACACGTACGGAACCGACGAAAGCAGAAAAAGCGACACGCAACGACCACATGCTTCACGGGATAAAAGCACGACAAAAATCGCTCGACACGAGGACTCGTCAGAGAAGACACCTCGGAAAAACAACGAAGCAGCCCCAGCGCTGAAAGCAGCGGAACTTTCCACACACGACAATCAGCAGCGACCATAAGGCTCTCAGAAGCGGACCGAGCCCTCTCGCTCGCACAGACACTGCTCCTCGCATCGTATCTCACTTGTGTCGGCCGCCTCGGGCATGGGGACCTGGCCGAACGCCCTCGAGCAGAACGCGATACAGATCCCATAGCTTTTGAACCGATTCAAATTCCCGCCGCATCCAGAGTAGAGGAAAGGCGAACACGTCCGGCTGTCTGGATCGAAATGCCACCGGGTGTAGCCCTCCTGGCACGGTCCGGCGTCCACGGGCATGAAGCACCATTCTAATAAAGTGCATAGTAATGCATCCCCCCGGTTCCAACTTCGATCGGGAACATGAGTCGCGCAGATGCAACTCCTCACTACGTTTATACTTAAGGCATGATCTTTTCTGGAACAGATCCGAGCATGCATTCGGTATTCCTCAAATGCCTAAATATTCCAGGCGTTTCAGAGTCTGGCCGTGGCTGGTTGCAGCCTTAGATATGCAGTATCTTAAGCTCAACACCCAACACCGTGGCTCCTTAAACCTAAGAAACTGATCAGCGACCTCGAACCCCAATTAATTCCCCTTCATCCTAAGCACGGGATGACGCAGAATCGAATCATGTCAGAGCCTGTTCCAGAGAAGGCCACACCAATGGGAATCCTTCGACCATCTTACAAGACCATCTTATAAGACCATCTTACACGACCATCATATACGAAAAGGAGACCAATGAACGAGGAACTCACTGGAAAGGGATTCGAGAGTGTCGTTCCCGGACGGGACCACGACGTCCTTGAAGATGCAGACCGCCTGGCATTCTCCTTCGGTGCTGAAGCGATTCCCGTTCCCGTCGCAACCGCCGAACATGAATCGCTGACATCTTTGTTCCCGGGCGTCGAAGTACCACTTCTCTTCGAAGTTTTCGCAGGGACCTGCATCTTGCGGCATTTCGCAAACATCTACGCCCAAAAAAAAAACACGAGATCGGTGAGGAATCGCTCAGATTTCTCGATGCAGACGTGCGGCGCAGACGAAAACGACAAGCCGTGCAAGCCAGATCTTGTTAGTGGGACGAGGTGATACCTAGATCCTGGAAGTTGCCACAAATTCTTTCACAGGATTCGAGCGACCGGAAGCGATTGGCATTGCCGGCACATCCGCCAAAGTTGAAAGCCTTGCACCCCCCACTGGACGCATCATGATACCACGACCTCGTATAGTCCGTGCACGGTCCAGCATCCTCTGGCAACTGACACACTTCCACTGCCACGGGTTAGCCACAGGTTATCCACAGGTCATCCACAGGTCATCCACGACCGAGTTCATGCAAGGTTAGTGGTTAAACCCGAGTCTTAAAGCGACGGATGGAAATTTACCACGGCCTGGCTGCAGAGGGGCGTCGGGCGCTCGGGTCGCAACCTCCGTGGGTCGGGCCTGTCGACATCTCTCCTCGCACTCCGTTCGTGAGTTGAACCGGTTTCCGTTGCCCTGGCAACCGCCGTATTGGAACTCGAAGCAGGTGTCGCGGCCGGGCTCGTAGTGCCATTGGCGGAAGGCTCCGCTGCACGGCCCCACCACTTTCGGCAGCTTGCAGATGTCTGGGATCGGCAAAACGTGGAAGCTCGTGTAGATGGCAGATGCACGAGCGGAACCGAACGGATAATGCGACTTGCAATGGGGTGAAAGCGAATTAGCTTCACCCCGTAACTAAATATGAAATTGCGAAATATTGAGAATAAATTATTGAATACCCTGAGCGTTTCCACACTTGATCTCGCATTCCTGTCTGGTTTCGAAGCGGTTCTGGTTCCCACCGCAGCCGGTCCAGCTGAACTGTTTGCACACTCCAGAGTGGCTCTCGTAAGTCCATTGAGGAAGATTCTGGGGTGCTTCTTGGGTACATGCACCTGCATCTGACTCCAGGAAGCAGTGCTCTAAAAAAAAAAATTTTTTTAATCAAGATAGAAATTTTTTTAAGTTTCGTGAATTATTTAACAGTTTTCCAGTTCTTTTACAGTTTACAGGGATTCTCGGCATGGAGCAACTGTTTACCGTTTCGGAATTCCTCGATTTTTGCGGGAGGGGCATAGATAGTCTCGCACTGCTTCTCGCAGTCATCTCTCGAGGGGAAATTGTTCCCGTTCCCTCCGCAGCCTCCATAGGCGAAGCTCTGGCATCGAGACGAGAAGATGTCGTAATACCACCTTTCTTGATAGTCTTTGCATTCCCCGACGGCAGCCGGCAAGCTGCACGTGTCTTGGGCAGCTGCAACGCGGGAAAAGAATTTATTTTTTATTTGACGGGGATTAGTCGAAAGGAAGTGCCTCCGTGCCTAACCACTCAAGGACTCAAGTGCCACTCGGCACATGCAATTAAGTCCTTCGGCACTGTACCAGCAGTAAGCCAGTAATTAAGTTGGCATTTGTGGTGGTAAACATGCGCAATACAGCCCGAAATATCGGAATTTCGCATCTTGCGATTGGTCGGTGCCCAAAAACTTACCAAGTTGCTGCGAACCCTCAGAACAAAAACATTTAAAAAAAAGCCACACATCTTCGATAACTCATGCCCGACCTGCTATAACACCGAGGCAGCTGGTCTCGCACTCCTCCGAGGTCTTGAACCGATTCTCGTTCCCTCCGCATCCAGTGTAATAAAACGGAAGGCACCGGCCCTGAGAGGCGTCGAAGTACCAGCGGGGCAGGCTCTCCTGGCAGTCTCCTTCCTCCCTTCGCAGCAGGCAGGTCTCTGTCCGGATTCATTCGCAAAGTCAAAATATTTGGCAGCTTGAATGAACGAAAATTTTTCAGGAACGAAGATGAATAACGAGAATTTAAAATTAATACAAGAAATATAAATAAAAACGACAGGGCATAGAGAAAATGATCCGTTTTGACTAGCCCGTATGAAGTGGACTTCATACGAGTCAAATAATCAAAATGGACCGTTGAAAGTGAACATTATTGTCCTATTATTGTCAGCTATTTGCATATGCTCGATGCCCAATAATGCTTTTACAACCTGTAAGCAATAATATATCAAAAGGCTTAAAAAGCAAATATGAATGTAAAACCGGGGGAAAGGAACCATACATATTGATTCATGCGCCACAGAGGAAACAAAAGCTGCAATACCAACAAACGGAAAATCTAAACACACAAGCGTGATCATACACGTGAACGAAGGCAAGCACATAAAAAAGTTTCACAACGGGATGGAGTGAAGGACACAGAACGGTTCTCCACCGAGCGACACCGAACCCTTCACCATGTGCAACGAGGTGGATACGAAGCACGAGACCCATCAGACTACGCGGGGGAGGACATCCTGGATCTCTGTTCATTTCCTCCTCGTGTTTATACCTGCTGTGATGGTTCTCGGAGAGGGAGAGTAGCATGCTCTGAGGCACTGTCCTTCGCTATGGTATCTGTTTCGGTTGCCTCCGCATCCTCCGTAGCGGAAGGCTCGGCAAACGCTTTCGACGGGCTCGTGAAAGTATCTGATCAGCTGGGCTCCGCATGGACCTTTGTCTGGCCTTGATGTGCAGTCCACTGCCGATAATTCTCTTATGTCACAGACACATCGAAAATTCTGGATTCTGTATAATTGAGTCTCCACATACCGGATACTTGCGAGCAATAATGCCATGTAACCAACATATGGAAAAAAGCAAAAAGGTAAAATTTGCAATTCTTTAATTTTAGCTTTCCCCATCGATTTCCATGTCAAATTTCCAAAATATGTTCAACATGTAAGCTACAGCAAATTTTCCTCCAAGATAGATAGAATCGGCGGACTCAGCTGACTCTCGAGAGAACGAACCTTTCTGTCGATTGCGACCATGGCATCTGATCTGGCATTCCCTCTCCGTGAGGAAGTTGTTGTCGTTGCCCTTGCAGCCTCCATAGGTGAAGTTTTTGCACAGGGAGTCGGCTGGACTGTAGTGCCAACGGGTGAAATTACCTTGGCATGGCCCCTCCGTCTTCGGTTGCAGGCACAAGGCTAGGGAAAAAGGGGGAAATATTTCGATGAAGGAATAATAATAATACTAATAAATAATTAATAAAATCGCAATCGGTTGAAGAGAAACTCACGGACGCTTTCAGGCTCCTTGCACTGTGTCTCGCATTCCTCGAGGGTCTGGAATCGGTTGTTGTTGCCGAGGCAACCGCCGTAATAGAATTGTCGGCAATGTCGGTATTCTGGGTCGTAGAACCACTTAATCTCGTACGTCTCGCATGGTCCTTCCACCTTCGGCAGGAAGCAGGCCTCTGCGCGAAAATAAACCATTAAATAATCATTTCGGGATTAAATCATAAATAAAATTAATGGAAATCTACTGGGAAATGTTGAAGGGGCTGATTGAAATGAGGGAGACCTCAAAGTATTTCATTCTATCATTATTTACTTTTAAGGTACTTTTAAAAAAAATCATAGTCGTACCTCTGCCACCGGTCTCCTCACAAACTCGTTTACATTCCTCTTGGGTGTCGAACCGATGATCATTGCCTTCACAGCCTCCGTACCAGAACCGAGAGCATCCCCCATACTCCATGTCGAAGAACCATTTGACCGTGAAATTCCGACACGGGCCTCGATCCTTCGCCAACCCACAAATCTCTGTCCAAGACAAACGACAATCGACAAAAGAGTCGACAAAAGAGTCGACAAAAGAGTCGACAAAAGAGTCGACAAAAGAGTCGACAAAAGAGTCGACAAAAGAGTCGACAAAAGAGTCGACAAAAGAGTCGACAAAAGAGTCGACAAAAGAGTCGACAAAAGAGTCGACAAAAGAGTCGACAAAAGAGTCGACAAAAGAGTCGACAAAAGAGTCGACAAAAGAGTCGACAAAAAAGTCGACAATACCTCCAGCTCGGATCCACTTGGGGATGTGCTCGCAGCCGTGGAAGTTCGGGCCCAGGGCGTTGGAGTTGCCGTCGGGGCAGCAACCGAACTCGGACGCCTCGCAGCTGCAGCCTGCCGAGTCAGGTCCGGTGGCTGGGGTCCGACGGTCGGGGCAGCAACCGAATTCCATCTCTTCGCAACCGCAACCTGTCGGTCATAAAACATATATTTTGCATAATTATTACAGTGCAGTACTATGTGCAGCCAGGCATTGCTTATGACAGTCTCGTGGCCTTAATAAATAAATAAAAGTATTGAACTCGAATATCCACACCGATTTGAAATCCTCGTCAAAAGTGATGGGTATTAAAATATAACTATCACTTTTGGATGGTTGGGAGACCACCCCCCCACCCTCCCCCCACTACAGCGAAACGTCTAGACACGGGAGGAGAGAGAGAGGAACGACGCTTCAGACCTTCCATGTTCGGTCCCTTGGCAGTGGTGACCCCGTCGGGGCAGCACCCGTGCTCGTACGTGTGGCACCCGCATCCCTGGTGGTCGGCGCCGAGGGCCGGGGTGTAGTTGTCGGGGCAGCACCCGTGCTCCGTGTATTTGCACCCGCAGCCCTCGTTCTTCTCGCCTCTTGCCGTCGTCTTGTTGTCTGGGCAGCAGCCGAATTCCGTCAGCTCGCATCCGCAGCCTGCAACACGGAATTCAGTCAATTGCTCGTCTCCGGTGCCCGGAGATCAATTCTTGACTAGTTGGCGAAGCTAGGGCTGAGGAGGGGAGATTACAAGAGTGGCAATCAAGGTGCTCTGTGTTACCTCTTTTCTAGATTATCTTGAAACCTTGAAAAAAAGACAGGAGTTTAGATTTTTGGCGGCAGAAAAATGAGGTTATGGCAGTGTCTATTGACATGGGGGAGGAAAATTATCGAAGATGGCTGACCGAAAGACCAAATATTGACAAAACATATTGACTCTCTCTCTACTGTGTGTCTCACAGACATATGGTCCTTGAAGAGTCTGCAGTCAATTCATACTGTTATTTTCTTGAATTTGTGTATCGCATTATATATTCCATGTTTTTCACCGTCAAAGATGAAATACACTTAATTTAACTAACTGTAACTTTCACTTTTAAAAGTTCTCTTTTTACCTTCCCCTTCGGGTCCCTTAGCCGGCGTGATATTGTCCGGGCAGCACTTGAACTCCGTGTTGAGGCAGCATCCTTCCCCGTTCTGTCCGTGGGCAGCGGTGACTCCATCGGGGCAGCAGCCGAATTCCTCCTTCTCGCATGCGGCCAGGCAGCCCTCTCCCTCCGGGCCCTCGGCTGCGGGATGGGGTCGGCTCGGGTCGATCGTGGTAAGATCGATGGGAAGGAGTCGAACGAATTTTTTTTTACCTGGTGCGATGCCGTCTGGGCAGCAGCCGAATTCTGAGTCCGTGCAGGCGACAGTGTCGTTTCTTGGGGGACAGCCGAGTTCGTCGGGACCCTCTGCTGCCGTCTCGTTGTCCCAACAGCATCCATACCTTGATAAGAAATTTCTCATTTTATGCATCTGAGATAGAAATTAAAATATCATTAATGAAATACGTAGCAAAATAACGATTGTTAGAGCAAAAAATAAGAAGTAGAAAACGAAGAACTAGAAGCAAAGAGAACAACTACAACAGGACAGAAGCAAGAAAAACCATTGACGCCTATGGTCACTTTGAATAGAAAAGGAATCAGGAGTAAGGCTCTACTTGGCTTCATGGCAAGTCTCTGGTTCGCATCCGAGGAGAGCGTTCCCTTCGGCCGGCTTCACTCCGTCTGGGCAGCAGCCGTATAGGGTGACGTTGCAGTCTAGAGGTGGGCAGCCCTGGAGGTCGGGTCCTGTTGCTGGGGATACGTCATCGTAGCAGCATCCGAATTTCGTCTGGTTGCACAGCTTTATCTCCTCGCAGCCTGGGGAAGAGATGGATCGTTCTCTGGTAAGGTTCACCATTTTCGGCTCTTTTTTTTGAGATTGTGTCCCCGTATAGATGAGACAGTGCGATCTATCTGTACTCTTGCTCGGTGGTGAGACAATGAACTCATCTATTCAATTCGATTTCGAAGAAACTTTTAAGAGAAAATACAAATATATATGTATCAAAAGCAAAGCATATTCAGGAGGGATCCAACCCCAGTTGGTAACCAGCAAATTCACAAGATCTCATTTGCTAATTTGAGGTAAATTGAAACTTTACCGCTTCCGAAAGGTCCTTGGGAGATGGTGATTCCATCAGGACAGCAGCCAAAGTCTGATTTCTTGCAGTCGGGTAGAGGTTTGGGCTTACACACTCGTTTCTTCTTCTTTGAGGCTTCTTCTTTCTTTCGAGCCTTTGATTCCACCACCTTACCGGGTTTCCCTGGTTTTTTTACCTCCTTCGCCTTCTTCGCGTCTTCCTCCTTCTTTTCGTCCTTCTTCTCCTCCTTCTTCTTTTCGTCTTTCTTCTCGTCCTTCTTCTTTTCGTCCTTCTTCTCCTCCTTCTTCTTTTCGTCCTTCTTCTCGTCTTTCTTCTTTTCGTCCTTCTTCTCCTCCTTTTTCTTTTCATCCTTCTTCTTTTCGTCCTTCTTCTCCTCCTTCTTCTTTTCGTCCTTCTTCTCTTCCTTCTTCTTTTCGTCCTTCTTCTCCTCCTTCTTCTTTTCGTCTTTCTTCTCGTCCTTCTTCTTCTCTTCCTTCTTCTTCTCTTCCTTCTTCTTCTCCTCTTCTTTCTTTACGTCCTCCTTCTTATCTTCCTTCTTCACCTTCTCAACCACCTTCTTCACCACCTTTACGATCTTGTCCTCACCCGTTTCCCCAGACCCCTCTTCTCCAGACCCCTCTTCCATGCCCGAGCCTTCAAGTTTCGCTTCCAGGAAACCAGAGCCCGGTTCCAGGGCGCCAGAGCCTTCCCACTCACCGGATCCAGAACCAGAAAATTCCTCTAGCCCGGAACCTTCCTTCTCGGATTGAAGGGGATCAACATCCCCTGAACCACCTTCTTCAGATTCCATGGGTTGATCTCCCATCATCTCTTCTTGCTCTGCCTTCATGAAGCCTGACAAGGATGGAATGCGTAATTCAAATCGTTAGCTTAGTAGTGACATATTCTCAAAAATTGAAATAAATCACGAATCGCAACATGAAAACTCTTAATAAATGGCATGTTTTTATTTTAAATTGTACGCAGTCGTTTGTTGCAATTAATGAATACCAATACATTCAGGATATGCTGAACAGCAACCATACAAATGTGAACCGCCTAGGCAAAAATAATTGAATTCAAGATGCACTATGAAGATCCCAAAAAGCAAGGAAAGGTTAAAAGCTCAATAATCATCCGAACCTTCCTCGATCTCCTCTGATGAGCCTTCCTCTGATGAGCCCTCCGCAGATGAGCCTTCCTCAGACGAGTCTTCCTCAGATGAAACATCTTCCAAAGACAGAAACTCCCCAGAGCCGAGGCCAGAACCGAAGCCAGAACCTTCGAAGTCCCCAGACCCTTCCCCTGAACCAGACCCTTCATCCCGTCCCATCACAACAAGGTCGTCATCTAAGCATTCCTCTTCTTCTTGCACTCCGACTCGAGGCTCGATCAACATCACCCAATCTAAGTAGAAAAAACAAAGCCACCTTGGAATGAGAACAGATTCACCTGATGGATTAAAATCAATGCGATAATTTATTTAATACATTTAATTATGATCTGATATAAATATTATATTTACTTATAACAATATAATGATTATCACCGGCGCCAAATGAAGTTTTTGTGTCTCTATTAAATTTGCTCTTTCACTTCCCGTTATTGAATCTAGTATTTAAATCATTCCGTTTACATATAATGGTGCCATCACTTCTTTTTTATTTATTTCTTTTATACACCTCCTTCTCGACAAACGCATCCCAATATATTGTCTCACCTTCTCCGCATGCCTCGGTGTTGCATTCCTCGTCGCTGAACGGTATGTCATTCTGGTTGCACTCCTCCAACGAAGTCTTGTTCCCAGAGAAACACTGGATTTTCCGGAGCTTGGTCCCACCTCCACAAGGGGCCGAACACTGTCATAACATGGTACACGTTGCTAAAGCGAACTGGTTAAATCTCTATGTGCACAATTTAAGTCCTAGCCAGTAACCTTTCCTGTAACCGGACATAAGAGAACTTACTGAACCGAGAGTCGCAGCTTCCCAATCACGAAGATTTAGAATTAGTCTCCTTTGGGACACAACGCATCTTAGCGATCTCTAGAAACATGTTCCTATTCCCCTTAGGGATCCCTTTTTTTTGCAAGGAAATGGGAGGGTTCATGACTGACTTCATCCAGCGAGCCTACCCCTCCAGAACCTTGGTCAATTTTTTAAATTCAACCTCTTTTGGGAGGCACGCCCGTTCATGAGTGATGACTAGAAACCTAGATGTTCTTCTCTCAAGCATTCAGAGACGATCGAATGGGAGAACGGAATAGAGAGTGGAGATCTTTTTTCTGTCTTCATAATCTCGCCACTTCCTTTCGCCTTTCAGAGTAGTGCAATATACCCCCAGTAGTTACGATGGATTTGAATAAATACTCAGGAAAGAAGGGATCGGATTTCAGCTAAAGGAGGTTTGAATATCCTTTGCGGTGTACGTCCGGGTTGGTGCATAAAATTGAGGCTGGGATATGTAACTGTTCCCCTATCTGCCGCTTTCTATTCGTAAGGATTTCATCACTCAGAATTCCACACAAGAGGGTTTATGAAGGAGGAAGGACTTTTTCCCAACCTAATTCGGGGGGCCTGGGGAACGGCCGTTACCATTTATTAATTTCTCTATCATTAAGAACGGTTCTCGCTTTGAAAGAGGCTCTACTGTTGATTTTCTTCATATTGATTAGCCGCTGGTTTGTGCGGAATTCGATAGCTTCCTCGCGTCCAACTTATTTTAAACCCTTAGTTATGCTAAGGAGATAAGGACAGACCTTGGACCAGGGTCCTGTGAACCACGCTCCTTTGCAAGGCCCTTCGACGACGCATTCCTGGGTATTGGGGGGCTCCTCGGCCCATTTGCAGTTCTCCTTGTCGACGATTTCCACCTGGGGACCGTCCATGGTCCCACAGAAGACCTCTCGGGTTTGCACTCCTTTCCCGCAGTCCACCGAGCACTAAGGCGTAATTTGAACTTGGGTCAGCACGATCCGAATTTTTAACCAGTTCAGGAAACGGGAGAATGCCTCTTCACCGTTGATACATTTCGCGAGATAAAGGTGAGATAAAATTGAGATTATATTACTATTTAGTGTATTCTATTCTAGTACGGAAAACTACATTTCCATGGAAACTTCTTTGCCAACTGTTGGTGACTTTGCCAAATGATTCCGAATTCACTCAACATTCTCTCTCTGGAAGACGAGAGAAAGGGTATGAGGGGCATTGCGAAAATATTTCAGCGGGCGAAAATGCCAATTAGCCCTGTTTCCATCCTTGTTACGTGAAACGTGAAGAGGCAAACTTTTTTTTTCTTCTTCAACCACCGAGTGTCCAAAATCCATGGGTCCTACCTGGGTCCACTGAGACATGTACCACATGTGCACGCAGGCGCTGTACTCTTTACACGGCCGGGAAAGCTCCGGGAGCCGATAGCCATGGCACATCGAATCTGGAAAGATTTCCCCGTCCTCTGCTGCACACATTGCCCTCCTTGTTTCGTTCTTCACTCCACACTTGTCTATGCACTATGGATTTGAGGAAAATTTGTTCAAATTTCTGCATTTTAGCCAAGAAATGAGTATGAATATTTTGAGTTTTCTGTTAAAACGCTAATATTTTTTCAAAAACTCATGATCAGAAATGTGGAAAATAAATGGGGATTTCAAAATTGAAATTACTGAGAGGCAATGCCAGTGTATCCAATGTATATCTTCCTTGAGCCCTCCTTAAAATTCACTATCCAAAGAAACTTGAGAAAAGGAAAGGTGAAGCAAGTTCCCAATATGCTTTCCGGTGGTAATATAAATGCTGAGTAAGGAGTAAACAAATGAAGCCAAAAATGATGAAATCCTTGACTCTTTCGTTTCTCCATAGCCGTTTGCTACTCGGCTTGCTGATAGAGTTATGTTTCGTTTTGGAATGCCACCACGATGGACGGTGTAGTCTGAGAGCCGCACCTGTGGCTTCAACTACTCACTAAATTGGGAACCCCTGGAGCAAGGGATATGCTAATGGTCATTATGAATAACAAGTTACCGTGAAAGGACAATATACCGCTGTGCGAACCGGACGGGATTTTTCTCTGTCCGGTGAAGTTAATGCTTTTCTTTCCAAGACATGCATGAATTTCCTGAGCAATTATTCCTCCATTTTCTGGACGAAATGCCCTCGTCTCAATGAAACATTTCCCATCGAAGTCAAACGGAAAGATAATAAATATTTAAATGGTGAAATTGCTGATCGACATACCCCGGACCATTCGGAGACCATCCAGTCGACACCATCGCACGGCGTCCTTGTGCAGGGCTTCTCGTCCTCCGGCTTCTCTCCAGAGCATTCCGAGTCGTTGTGGATCGCCACTGAGCCGTTCGATATGGAGTGGCACACCACCAGCCGTCTCTCCTTCCCTTCTCCGCAGAGGACGTCGCACTGCAAGGGAAAGGGACGTTGTTATGATGCTCCATTTCCAAATGCGCATCATAGAATGCAAAAATAATGAAAAATGCTGGACGAAAAGAGAATGAAGTTTTTAGAGTGAAATTGAGAAATCTGAAGAAGGGAATAGAAAATATTTAAATAGACAAGTCATGAAATGAAACATATTCATTGTTGTATTTATACTATTGTATCTATTCAAATAAAATTCTCATAATTCCAGATTTGGATCTAGAGCTATGTCTAAGCCAGATTTCATTGTATAAAATTCCAGTTTCCGCGAATAAGCGTGAGAATAAGTACAGGAAACTACTTTTAAAACTCATTTGTACAAATTACTCTGGCCTGCCACTGAATGTTTTCAGCTCTTTTATTTCTGGTTCCAGAGCAAATTTCCCACTTTTGCTTCGAGGAACAGCGGAAATAAAGGCTGAAAATGAGGAATGTGAGAAAAATAATTAAATTTGAAGTGTTAAAATAATATTTTTATGAAGTTCGAAATTAGGAACGCAGACAACCAATCTTTACTGGGTAGGACGGCGGAATGTAAACCATTTACCGGTTTCCAGGGCTCGATGAACCACGTGAAATTGGAAGCGACGTCGGCACTGGGATCGGTGAGATCCTCCTCTTCTCCCTCCTCCAATTCGTCTTCCTTGGAGGCTTCGCTGCATTTCTGAAGCTGTAAGGGCTTGGGACCGTGGGCGGCCTCGCAGAGGGAATCCTCGACGAGGGACGGGTGCCCCCCTTGAATCACTTGCTGGCACACCACGGCTCTGAATCGGTACTCCGTCTCCGAGTCTGATGTGCAGTTACTCCAATTCATGATGAACCAGCTGCTCGTGCAATAATGCATGACGATAAGACGAATCTCCTCAGAAAAAGAATTGTTAGGAAAATTCGTACGAGACATATTGACACGTCTGATACTATTTAAGTCAAATAAAAGCACAAACACGTGACAATTTTATATTACAAAGTCCTTAAGTGTGAAGGCTACATGAGGCATGCAAAATCTGCTAAGTTGAAAATTAGAACTTGACTGACAGGGAAAATTTCCGACAAATACACGAATTGAGAGGTGAATGTTCTCAGGAGTCGTGTGTTACGCTCTGCACTGCATATTTTCTTTAATTCTCTTTTTGCTATATCATTTATTTCTGCTCTTTTTTTAATTTTACAGTCTTCCCCTGGCGATAGCGCCCATTCTCAGTCGATATCGATTTAAACGTTAAACTTGTGATATTCCGTTAGACCGGGAATCTCAGCGGCACCTGGGATGGCAGGCTTGCGGAGCGCAGGCCTCGCTGTCCTTGGGGCGAAGCGAGGGGTCGCAGAGGTATTCCGGCACGTCCTCCTCCGTGCCGCCGCGGACGCACTTCACCGTTCGGCTCTTCACACCTTCGGGACGAACCGGCGACGTTGAAATTCACGGTCGTTTACGAGGCACGGAGAGTTGCAAGATTAGAAAGTAATTTTATCTGGAAAATTATTGCCAATTCTTCACGCCTTGCAAGAGGCAGACTCTCAGCTCCTCCGAGGAAGTTCATGAGGTCTTTTTATTTTTAACACGTATAATCAAGATTTGACCCAGGGCTAATGGAATAAATTAAGCGGATTGGGGCAGGTTGAATTTCCCCTCGTGACGTAATCTACTCAGGGTACACCTTGAGCTGTCTCGAGCTTTCGTGGTTTTCCTTTCATTTCATTATTACAGACGTCAGGGGGGAGGGAATCTCTCAAATGAATACTGTTTGCAAGCCTGCATTACTGAAATTGATTCAAGTTGAAAGCCTGAATTGCTGAGATAAATCACATGCCAATGATTTATTTCACGGCAGATCTAAGTTCTCTGCGGGAAAATCGTCGCTTTCAAAAACATGTTGCGGACTCGGAGTACCTCACACGTCAAAGGAAAACTTGAGTCGTTTGAAACGTTCTTCTATTAGCCCTAGACAAAATCCATGATTTGATAATTAAAATTTAAATAAAAAAATATAAATATATATATATATATATAAATTTAAAAAGAGAAGAGACCTCCGCCGCATTCAGCTGAGCAAGCAGAGAAGGGATCGGCGACCCAGTTGTAGGTGTCGGGAAATTGGGATCCTGACACGCCCTCGGGGATGCTGTACTCGTATTCTACCCCTGGGTTCTGCTCCTGGTACAATATCTATTCACATACCAAAATAAATGCCTTCGTATCATGGACGGACAAGCAAGCCATCTGTAATATGCATGTATCAAGGACATTCCCTCCCAACATTTTATCGAGACCTTTCGTTCGACCTTCAAATGTCAAATTTATTGCATACTGTTTGTCACGAGACAGAATCTTTTGAGATGAAATGGATTTTTATTAACGTGGCAGGAGGGACCCTGCTTTTAAGCTAGTAAAGTTTGATTGCATGCTTCGTACAGTATATAGCACCTCGTCCTTAGCCCTTGACTAATTAGCAAGTGCCAATTCACACTCGACGAAACAGAGGAAACAGAAATTGATCGTCCGCGTACCGTCATTTCCGCAAGTCCTCACGGGCTTCTTCATAATTTTATGGAATCTATGTAGAATACATATCCAAAGCTGAACTCGCCATAAGCATAATAATTTCAGTAAAAATTTAAATTATGGATGGTGCATGCATGCAACACTTCGCGGATCGCACGGACGAACGAAATTGCACGAATTGAGTATGAACCGCAGCCTGTGTTGATCTGCTCATGATGGAAACTGAATCAAACTTATGATGTAAAACTTGACTTATTTCTGTGGAATGGGATATGTGAAGTGTAGTTTTCCACATAGTACACACAGGAAAATCCAAAGTAGCACTGACGCAGAAATCTAAGCAATATTCCTTGGACCTTCAAAGGAAGACTTGCATTAAAAGAAGAATTAATAATTAAAAAATGAATGGTCGAGAAGAAACAAATATTAGGACGAGAGCGAGGGGGAAGAGAGACGAAGACGAACCACGATGAAGATGGCCTCGGTGGTGGGGCCCACGGCCCGGATGGTTTCGGGTGAGAAGAACCCCGTGGGCCTCCGCTCGTAATGGAATGTCGTCCCGGCGAATTTCAGGGACCTGGGGAAGTCTATCCTCCAGTTCCCATTCAGATAGTAGTGACCGGTTGTGTTCCTTATTGCTGGAGTGAAAAAAACGTTTTCGGTGAAATGATGCGAAATGGGGGGGAATGGAAAATGGAAATAGCGTTCTTACCGAAGTAATTGCTGGAAGCTTGACGTTCCTTGATCTCTACATTAGTGGCTCCCACGGGGATGAGAAGAATGTCATTATATCCTGGAGAGAAGAAATACCATTAAGGAAAACAATGGCATTTGACACGGAAACGCACGACCGAATGCGAAGATTTCCCTCCAAGGAGGAAGGGGCAGAAGGAAACCGAACGGGAACGGCAGCGTGCCACCGGAATGTGCCTTACCTACTTGTAAGTCGTTGGAGTCAAATGAGCCGGTGATGGTTTTGCATGTGGATCCGTCGCCCCCACAGACGCGACATTTGTCTTCGGGCACGCGAGATCCCAGCATCTTATCACAGCCCACGGGCTGTAACGTTAAACAATTTCACGTAGGATTTGAAAAAACAATTTATAGGGGTTTTTTTTCCATCATGCTGAGTTATTCCTTGAACTGCCCGTTTTCCCCTCTTCGTACAGCGAAGGACTTAAAAAAGGGTGTGGCTCTTCCACAAAGCCTCTCTCCCTCCCCCCTCTCTCTCTCTCTCTATTTATCTCTCTTACTGGCATCTGGCGTGAGGAAGAGATGAGCACCTCAGACTCCAAGAAAAACTCCCATTTCCTCTGGCGATTCAAATGTCGTCACTTTTCTCTGATTAGCTGCGCATGAAATACGATTTCGAAAATGTGTTTGACACTTTCCATGAATGATTTCCATTTATGCGATCCTAATCTAAGCTCGATCGGATTTGGGTTGCGTCGGATCTCAGATAACAAGTTCGAATCCGGTTCGGCTCCTTTTCTGAATTCGGACCAGCTGCGACTTCAACGCTCGGCTGCAATGAGCGCCTGGCTGAGAGCCGGGTGGCCATCGCATGGCTCATTTTATGGTGAGTGGCCATCGCATGGCTCATTTTATGGTGGGTGGCCACCTTCAAGAATCTCAGAGAGTAGTGTGCAATCGTGAGACTACTGGAGAAGTCATATGACTTTGAAATGGTTTAATCGGTCTAATTTTTCTTAACTTCGTATTTAAGGCAAATCTCCAGTTTCATTGCTAGATAAATAGAATTACTTATGTTTATAAATAAAAGGAAGAGCCAAGACACGGAGACAAGTGTTTCAATCATCAAGAAATCGATCAAGGCTTTGGTAATTTAATACACTTTTAAGCAGATTTCCTTGAAGTTGAATTTTCATGGGTCACACCTCTCTGTTATTTAGCCCCTAACATAAGAAGTCTATTCTCCAAAAGCTCCGGTATGCAGTGCTAAAAAAAAAATCGTGCCAAATGGGGAAAACGGCGACTCATTTCCATTTCAACGCCACCAGCAGACTGTGGACGTGCTACTCACAAAGGGTAATACTCGGTGCGAAAGGGGATGTGACGGGCATGATGTGACACGGACATGATGTGACGGGCATGACTTCACATCTCCAGGTTCACTCATGCGGTGGAACACGAATGAATCATATTTCGGGTTATTATTAAATCGAATAGGTCCGATCTATTTGTAACTGCTGCTTCTGGAAGAAGAGGGAGAAAAAGTGCCTGAAGTAAGATTTAGCGACGAAACAAATGCGAAACCCGAATATAAAGCGAAGACTCGTTCGAATAAACTCTGATGTTAAATTTTATCTTGGATGAAATCGTCGACCCTGCAAAACATCTGCGGCTCTGAATCGCACATCGGAGGGGCAGGGGGGCAGGGGGGCGGGGGGGGGGGGCATTACAGACGAAGCAAAAAGGAAGCAGAAACCCCAGCCGAGACGATGTTATCAGCGGGCAATATATTCCCGGCCAGAGACATAAACTGCAGGGGCGGAAGGACCGTAATTTCGCTCGGAGTATATGAGGAATTCAGAGAGCCAAGGTGAGACGAAAAATAAATGGACCTCTTACCCCCCCCCCTCCCCCTCCCCCCCGTGTAAAGGGACGAAAGGTTTCTTACTTTCATGTTGGAAACAGCGACGAGATGGAGTGACAAAGACGACTGAAGATGCGGTCGAGCGCGAAACAATAGAACTCGTAAAAACGAATTTAGCAAGAAAACAGTATCGTCCCCTCGAGGTGTCCCGTGGGATAATTATTACCTAACTCAAAAATTATACCTAATTCTAAAATAAATTCCAAGATGGTTGTAATTGCAATTGTAATTGTAATGTTTAATTGTAAGACACGTGTGTTTCCATTATTAGCTACTCCTTCTTGGACAGCTTTTAGATTATATTAGGATAAATATTAAAATTTAGCACCGACTATTAACATAATTTCTCTTTATGGGCATATTAAAATCGAATTTCGATTAAGAGTCATTCCAGGCATTGAACAGGCCCTCGATTCGAAAAGTCTTTACACACGCTGTGCATTTACAAGACAAAGGCAGCGAGAGCCTTCGTGCCTCCCTAGGCAAATAGTATCAGCCGTTCGCAGAAAGCAGAATGACGTAATGGGTCTCACCATGCAGACCCCGTCGACGCAGACGTCGAGGCTCTCATCGTCGCACCTCGTGCCGTCGATCACCTTCCGGCCATGGCGGTAGTAGAACCTCTCCCCCTGCGGCATGCAGTTCAGCTCGCACTTGTTCGGCGCCTTCGTGTAAGGGATCCACCTGGGAGGTGGACGGAGAGGGTTAGCGGGAGGGAGGAGGGAGGAGGGAGGGAGGGCTCTCGCACTTACGTGTAGTATTTGCCCTCGAAGGGGACTTCGTCGAATTGGGAACATTGGATCGCCCGGAAGTCCTTCGTGCCTTCGGGACAGTCCTGCAAAATTTGGACGGAAGATTTTTCAGACGATTGCACAGAAGATAATTGATCTATCTTGGCACAACTGCAAACTTTATTTCTTACAATAAATGACTGGAAATTAAAAAAAAGACATTAAAGACGACTGGGTGTTAAGTCTGTCTTCGAAATTTCTGTGAAAAAAAAACTCCCCAAGGTCTTCTGCACACTCAAGTGGTTTCAATCAGGCCACGTTTAAAAGAAAGTCAGATGAAATCCCGGATAAGACGGTTGATGCCAGCGAAGTGGATGTCTCATCGACCTTGACACGGATGAGGAATGCATCTGAAGGTCGGGGACGAGGAGTACAGGAGTGAAATGACATGACACTCCTCCCTTTTTTTTCTCCAGGGCGGAAGGCCTCTTTTGTTTTCTTTAGCAGGGCGGTGCTCCTTTCTGTCCTTTTTTTTCCATCATTGTAAACTGTGTTCTATCACCGTTGGAAATAGTGTACGACGTGCGCAAATTTTTGTTTCAGATGAAGTTCTTCCTCGAAGATTGGATTCTTTTATTTTTGCGGGAAATTATGACCGAGATTAAACGTAGAAATCCTTATATAAATTGAACAAAATCAACCGCTCTTCGCCGTATTAAACGTAATCAAAAGCTGAGTTCCGAGCCGAAAAGACGTGCTTTCCTCGATTCGTAATTTAGTTATCCATTACTACCAGACCAGGATTACCTGTGGAATCAAATCGTGGTCGCATACTTGTCCTTTAGGGCGATGGACCGACTGTTATCCGTACAATAAAAAATCTACGAAGTTCTGCAGTAATTCAATAGATGCCATTAGATGCCTTCCTCCCGACTTCGCATTTGACAGAATGCGTTCGACTTCCTGACTCAATTCGGCTAGTTAACTTGAATTCTCCGGTGCTAAAAACATCCAGAAGACACCTCATTCACATATGCTCATTCAATTTTTGTATTCGTCCGATGCATGAGTAACAAAAGGCGGAGTTGATACGCTGCCACCGTTTGAACGGCGAATAAAAAATCAAGCAAGTCGAGCGACGGAAAAAGAGGGTGCGCCCGGAGTCTTGACATTGATTGCATGGGCGGGGGAGGAGAAAGAGGAGAGCTCGTGGCGATTAAGGGATTTGTTTGGGAAGGAATAGGAGTGGAGGTCAGAGGTGGAGTGGGAGATTTCGCAGAGCGAAATCTCCCACTCGACCTCTGACCTCCACTTTCGCAGAGCGAAACCTCCACTCATGGTCCCTTTCCTCTTTCCAAATGGGAACGCGTGGATCTCCGGAAATTGGCAACGTTAAGCGATACTCCCTCCAAGACTCACTTCTCCCTCGGGCATCGACTCCCATGCAGAATTTTGGGGGAAATTCGCCTGAGCGGATGGATTTTGGCCCATAAAAAAAAAAATTATTTACCGGAAAACTGATCCGGAGTAAGTTCATCAGTGATACACTACCTTAGTAAATATCTTCTCTGCGTTTTTTGTCATCTTGCACATTTCTTTACTACCATACACATCATTTCTCTTTTCACGCTCAGCGCAAGTATAAAAAAAAGGGGGGAGGTTGGCCGAAGCGAGGTCGCCCGGGGTGCTCCTCACGCTCTCGGAGGACAGAGCACTAACCGAATGGTCACTGTTGCGGTGAAAATCTTCGTAGATGGTGTTGTATGTTACATGCAAGGAATTGGGGTCATTGAGGACGACGGGCGTGACAGTAAAAACGGCAAGAAGAAATCAGGTCCAGTTAATTCTATATTGTCTCACGTACATTGTCTGGAGGGCCTTTTCTCACAACCCCGATGACAGAATTTTCTGCTTGTTCACATTTGTATATACGTGTCGAACGCATGGAACGTCCGAGTTTAATCGGGAAAACTGTGCAGTCATCTCTGCCATGATTATGAGGACAAGCCCTCCAGTCAATGTACACAGACGTGCATGTTTGCCACGTAGGGTTAAGAACTCCGAGCCCGGAAGTCAAAACGGAGTGCAAGAACCTTAAAAACGCCGCGAAACTATTATAAGTAAAAAATTATAAGTTAAATTATAAGTAACGAAACGGATTAATATATATATATATATATATATATATTAATACTCCTGAAAAGAAACGAGATCAAATTACTGCACGTTCAGTATAGACTCGTGAGGAAAACTGCATTCTCCGCTGTGGGGCATCAACAGCCGGCATCAGAGCGGAGATGCAGGCACTCGGAATAGCATTCGCAGAGAGATGTTTTTATTTCATACGATGTTTTTATTTTGTTCCCGGACGAGGAGAAGCCGGATGTTTCTCGAAGGAATCTGCTAAGATGTCCCCCTCCCCCCCCCCCCTCCAACTCCAACAAGGATTCATATTTCACAAGAAAGGCGCCACCCTTTCAACCCTTTCTCCGCCTTTCGGCAATGACTTGAAACGGGATCCCATGCCAAACTGTCCCCGCCGGTCACTCGGGAACATCCGGGAAATTTCGTTCCTCCCGCGATACACAGCCGGCTCTTTGCTCCTTGTGTGGCCGCACTTTACGGGATGCAAAGGGTATGTCACGGATCGCTCACCCGCTCACCCGTGCATCACTCACCCGTGCATCACTCACCCGTGCATTACTCACCCATTACGAACCCGTTAAGTATGGAAAAACCCACTTGCGTAATGGATGATGACTTTCTTTGAATGATGATGGGTGACATCGCCACGTAACGAGTAATCGACCCTTTCGAAGCGGATGATTCTGGCAATGGAACCCGCAAATTTGCAGAACGCTCTAAAACGTCTCAAGGAATCGATTCGCCAGACAGAAGTGAACATGGAGCTAATAACGCTGAAAGGTCCTTTACTTTAAGGACCTTTCACACTGTGAAAGGTCCTAAAAGTGAAGAACTGCCTCAGAGTGCGGGTTCGAATTAATGTAAATTGCTCTCTCACCATAGTTCAATTTTTTTTTCATTAGGACTGCTAATTAATAAAAATAAAGAAGTCAACTCGTTTCATCTGGTACTGTCAAATCGACCTTAATTGAATGCTAATCCACCCGTAATCCCCGCTCCAGATCTGATAATTTCCTCTCGACGCCGTGGGGGTCCGCCGTCTCACGCCTGTCCGATCGATCTTCCGATTTTATTTATTTTTACACCTCGCTGGTACTGGTATTACAGGGGAAAAACCCAGACTCGATCTGACACATCAGAGAGGAGATCCGGATAATTCCTCATAATTGACGGATCGCGATTACTTCGAGAAAAAAAATCGCAGTTGCAACTGTCAATTCGACTTATTCCATCTGATTCATTTTAATTAGTTAAAATATATCAAACGGGAAGGGCCTATCCAATTATGCAAATTAGATTTTTTAATTGCATTTTAAGAACGAACGTCTTACCTGAATATTGCAGGAAGAATATCTCTTATTCGGTCCCGTACATCTGGGAGATCCATCGACCCTGTAAGAAAAGAGACGCCGTCAATTTGTGCTTCGAGATGCCCTCTCTCGCGCTTCAATGGACTCTCTTTCATTGATGACGACCGAGAGAATAGACGAGACAGACGCGGGCGCGTGCAAGTCATGGCCGAGAGGGCCTTCCAGTCCATTCACCGGGTTCATGACTCACAGTCCCCGAAGGGGGGCAGGGGGGGGCAGGGGGGGCAGGTGCGAGACATTCCAAAGAAGCTCATATTTCAGTCTATAGAAATATCTCATATTTTACACGTATATATTCCATCAGTCCCAAATGTTATCTAGTCAAATCTTTCTCATGAAATTTTATTTATTTATTATTAAGCAGGAGCTTACCATCCATACTCGTTACGTGGCGGGCAAATGAGCTGGTTTAGAATGTGCATGAACTTCGAAAAATGAGTGATTGAAATGCTGACTTTAAAATACTAAAATGCTAGGCATTGAAGCAAGCACAAAAAATTGCACAGAAGTTAAAAAATATATATTTTTTTAAATATGATAAAGGATTATGATAAAGGAGCAGAGCTCAACCGCTCTTACAGTCCTGATGGAAGGTCCAACATTTTTTATTTATTTATTTCGTATCGTTTCTGGAACAGTAAGCATTCGGTATCGTAAATATACCCACGGGATTCGGATTGCGAAAGAAGCCGTAGATTCCTGAACGTTAGAGTAGAGGAGAAAGAAGAGGCACGAGATAGGTTGTTGAGTCTGCCCATCAATAAGGGACTGTCAAGCCCCGTGCAACGCGAGTGTTAAAACATTCATTTCCTGCGACCCCCTCAACATGAGCTTCTTTGGAATGTCTCGCACCTGCCCCCCCTGCCCCCCCTGCCCCCCTTCGGGGACTGTGATTACGTAGGCACGAGGGGGAATCACCGATGGCCTTGCCGCTTAAAGAAGGTGACCTGGTCGGTGCGTTGAATGATGGCGATTGCCATCGAGTTGGCCGCCCTCGATGTCGTTGAAAGGAGGGAGAGGAGAAATGGTTGCGATGAGGGAATTCATTCATCATCTTTCACGTTCCACCACCAGAGTTTAATGAGTGATGGCGTTGTCATGCTGTCAAATATCCGATTTTAAAAAAATAAAAAAATCGTGGGAGAAGTCAGCATTCGTCTCGTCTATGTGTTCTCGTACCAGTGCATCGACCCGGAATATTGCCGCTGTAAACGTGGAAGCGGCCGAAGCACCCCGACGGGATCGCAAGGCGAGTGAGAACCGTAGCAAGCAAAAACGACGTACCCCTTGTCGAGGCATTCCCGGGTCTGATACGCGACTCCTCCCCCGCAAGTCCTGGAACAGGACGAGGGAGGCCCCCACCCGCTCCAGCGGCCCGTCTCCGCGTCATCACCCACGTTGATGAACGGCCGGTCGCTCCTCCCCTGCCGCTTCTCCCGGTTCGTCCCCTCGCCGCTGTGCCGGATTCGGTGCGGCGCCGCCAATCCATCCTCTTCTTCCTGTGTCGGTCGACGCGGAAAAAATTCGACGCATTGAACATTTTCAAATGTGTTGTCGGCAGGTTATATAACACGGGGTGCTTAGTAGAGGCCTGCCGTCAGAAAGTATGATGATCGCGCTAGCTGAAGAAAGAATAAAGTTGATCTTTTTGGTATTGAGAAAGTACCGTGTTAACAAATGCAGTAAATTTCTTTGAAATAGTCTCTAAGGCTTCAAATTCTGACGAACCGATTCGTGATCGAAAAAGCACTATTGCTAGGCAATTTTTCAAATCAAAACTGAAAAAAATTTTCATTAACTTTTACATGCTCTGACACACGAGAGGACGTAGACGATACGAGCAAAGAACACCGCTCGATCCAAATGCGACCGAGAAGCGAACGAGCCTGGGTCTGGCGACGATGAGGAGCGGATCCAGGATGTCTGAAAGGGAACCCGAGAATAGTGACATTGGGAAACCCGACCCACGACGAAGGTCAATGCCGCCTTATTGGCCTGTAACCATGTCTACCCGGGCCTCAACCAGTTCCAGACTTTGCCTCCCTGCCACCCTGCCTCCCTGCCCCTGCCTCCCTGCCTGCCTCCCTGCCTACCTTCTTTCCTCCCTTCTTTCCGCGTGTGTTCTTCCTCGCACAGGAAGTCGCGACAACCGATCAGATGGCGAAGGGGGAATCCGATTTCATCAGGTCTGTTACTTTGACCTACTCTATATCAGGCTAGACCATAAATAGGTAAATAATTCTGTTACACGAAACGCCAAAACCCGAATGCTCTCGATCTCAGATGCTGTTCCGAATGACCACGGCCGAATGCGATTCGTGGTTTCGGATGGCGAAAACTGACCTTTGATATGGAGCTGGCTGACTGGAGACATATCAACACTGACAGCCACCTGAAAATAAAAAAAGATGCTTCAGAAGGTCGTTAAGATGCAAATGAGACCTTGACACGCGGCGTCAAAAAAGGCGGGAAATCATTTACAGAACTCCCACGACGGAATGACCACAATGTTGCCCTGACAGCGCATCAAACGGCTCATCAACGGCTCATCAACGGCTCATCGACTCAACATCATCCCAGACTGACCCAGATCCGACACGAGTAAAATGCTCGGGGTGGCAGGACCTGTAACGCGATCGGCATGACCGGCTCGCGTCTGCCTCCCATCTGCCACGGTCATGTGCGGATCAGCATCAGGTCAGGGCCTTGCCACATGCTCCTCAGCCGTCGCAGGGCGGAGATACGGTACGCGATTGCAGGGCGTCGCTCGTGATGGAGAGGTACTGTAGATTCATCTCGAGGAAGTCATCGAAATGCATGACTTGGCAACCGACTGTCTTTTTTTTTTTTTTTTTTTTTTTAAAGCCGCACGAAATTTCTGATGACGCCGAGTCCCGAGCAGGTATTTCCTTCACCTGCGATTTTCGCACTTAATATTAAAAACTCCATTCGGAAACTCGCCTCTGATGAACCGTGACGAGGGCGGGCCGGAGCAGTTCCGACTTTACGGCCCCATAAATGTCACTCGAGAAACCCGAAAAGAGTGGAACGCGCAGCGCATCAACGAGAATAAATCACAGCTCATCGAGTTCACTCACTCCCCTCGTAAAGTCGCTTGTATTGATGGATGTCGTCCCGGGGAAGGAAAAAAAAATGAAGACACACTTTGTTCGGAGGAAGCGGTATGTGCGTGAAAAATGGCAATAAGAGGTGACAGATGCGGAATGGGGAAAGGCATCTTTTCCTCCCCCCCTCTCGACATGAATGGCTCGAGAAGAGCACACATATGATGAGAGATTTTTTTCAGACCCAAAATAGATCCTTTTCCCCCTTACGGGTAATTACCTCGGATTCTCTCAATATACTAATAAAAGAGTGAAAGGCAGACGAACCTCATCTGCTGCTGTACTTTCTCCTCGGGTACTGAGTGCCATTGCCTTCCTCGTTCTTATGTATGAAACCTACGTACATTCTCTTCGTGGTAAATTTATATTTAAAATGTAAAATTGAGGAGATACAAACATATTCAGCGAAACAGCGAGCCAATACAAATGGAAATAAAAATTCTATTAGTTGCCCTTGTTTACAGTTTGATGAATTATGCATAAATCGCATCAACGCAAAGCTTTGACGTTGTCATCAAAACCTCTGATCGAACGAGCAGCCTTTTCACATCCCGAACAAAGGGGCATGGCAGGATAGAAAAGGCTTCTCGGTAAATTACAGCTCAGAAGAGAAAGATCCACACGGTCGGCTTCAAATTGCAGGCGAAAGTCAAACAGTGCACTGAAGCCCCGCATGAGATATAGAGGAACACGATAACGTACAAGGCAAACGATGGGAAATTCTCTGTCCCATTAGGGATTCAAAATGCATTTGTTTGCACTGAGTCCTCCCCCCCCCCCCATTTCTTTTCTTTTCCTCCTCTCTCTTCATCTCAGTACCCATTCAGGACCAAATATTCAGCAGATGAAGCCCACCCAGAGAGAAGCCACTCGCCGAAAGGAAAAAACCCAGCACAGATGAGGCAAGACTTTCCAAACGAGCCTATTGCTTGGACCTGACGCTAGGCATACATCATCGGAGATGTCGTTTTCCCCTCCAGGAGGGGAAAAGAAGGAACCACGGTTATCTCCCTCCTCCGCCTCTTTTCAGATGACCTTCGTTGATAATGCAATATCAGGTATCAGCCCCTCTGTTTTGTCTAGGAAGAGTACGTTAACATCGAGAACCCCCCCCCCCCCCCCCCCCCCCCCCCCCCTCCTCTTCGCATTCTCTCAATGCCGCCAAGAAAATATTCGCGGAAAACAGTCGTCGTTCTACCAGGGGAAGGAGGAGACGATTGCGATGTCCACGCGGATATCAACCAGACTTCCTTCGATGTCTGACCTCATTTTCTGTACCAACACAAGTACATACAGACACAGGAACTTGTCCGTTCACAGGCGGCAATTTTTCCCCGGTCCGAAACGCTCGCGACGCAGAAGTGAGGACTTCGCATATCCGTCGATGCGTTGGCCTCTCGATGTTAACGTACTCTTCCTAGACAAAACAGAGGGGCTGATACCTGATATTGCATTATCAACGAAGGTCATCTGAAAAGAGGCTACTAGTATGGGGATAAAATTTCACGTCTTGACGTTCTCCCCACTGCCCCAGGCCTCTCTCTTTTTATTGCTACGTGAAAAACTCCCCTTCTCTCCCTCCCTCTTCCATCTTTTATATGCATCCTCTTCTCTTTGACTCGATCATTCAACTACAAATACAAGGCATTTTCTTCTGCCGCCGCTCCAGACTGGAGTCCAATTCCCCCCGTTTTTATAGACTAGCATTCCTTCAGGTCTTCTGGTTCCCTTTGTCTACTCGCTTCTTCCAGATCCGGAGAGAAATTTATTCCTGGGTCCTCTTTCCTGTGCAAGTTTCCTGGTTCAGTTTGCCGTTTGACTCTCATACAAGACAATCCTACATAGGTTGGCTTTCAGCACGAGTCAAACTAATATTGATATGAATTTTTATTTTTATTTTATTCTTATATTTAGAAGTCAATTTTCTTCGCATCTGTCGGAATATGAATGCGTGTCTACATGACTGTATTAAATGCGAAAACGAGGTCGACCCAAGTATGCAAGGATAGGTGCGAAACGAGACTAGGAAGCCAGGAAAACAAAAATAATTCATCTCCACGGCGCTTTTTTTTTTTTTTTTTTGAGCGCTCAGCGATGGAGAACAATGGCCCACGGACCGAACGAGAGAGAGATCGAATTCCGAGCCAGACTCTGATCCTCTCCCCCGTGAGCGCAGTTCTGCTCGGCAATGTCCGGAAGAGGGAAAAGAGGGAACGGGAGGGAAAAAAAGAGGTGAGATTTCCATGTGTCGGTGGGGCGGAAACAACATGTCAAGAGGGAGACGTATAAGGAAGGAAGGAAGAAGGAGGGGGGAGGAAAGCTCGCATGGCACGATGATACCTTTCTCGGTTAACTGTCTAAATCTCCGGGGCCTCCTATTTCTGGGTGCATAAAAAAGGGAATATCGGGACAGGATGAATGGCAGGGCAGGAAGTGTGGCTATCGAGCCGCTATCGTGGACGGAAGGAAGAACCGAGGTTGAACGGAGGAAGTTGAACGGGGATCGTGAGAGGGACTGCAATGAGACCCTGGATTCGCTGGCATTCCCAGCCAGATATCCTCTGTATCTCTTTCTTCCGTTTTCTGGCTTCGACTTTTTTTTTTTTCCTTTATTCGTTTCCTCTGGAGTTTGTGGGGGATTGGGGAGCCTAGGAAATACGCTCGTGGGTGTTTGAGAGCGCGCAATTTCGGTTACGTCCAAGTAAATACTAATTTGAGAAGGACGGTTTGGAAACGAATGTTAAACAACGTATGCATGTTCAGACATGTTGTTTAACAGCAATGTTCAAACGAATTCGCATCGCAGGGAAACCGACACCATCCAAGAATCGAAAGAAATACGCCCCACAGAAAGCAGACAGCGCCAACATGCACGAATAACTTAAATACGGTTTGCAATTCAATAACAACGTACCACATGAAGAATCACCGACGGAGAAAAAGGGAAGAAAAAAAATTATGGCGAGTTGCACGAAATGCCACCCAGGAAGCGAAAGGAATTCTTCGAGGATCCGCGTGAGATCTCCGTGGAGACTCGCCGAACAAAGGCTTCATCGTCGCCGATAGGTTCTGCATGTGCCAATCTCGCACACGTGACGGATTTGCTAATGCAAATCTCTGGACCCCTTTCCCCCGTATGCAAATGATTTTTTTTCCGACCCAGGAGATTCGAGAGAATCTCGTCGGTGCATGAAGGTGAGTTTTCTTTCTTCTCTCGTAACGAGGGAGAAACTCCTTTCAACTCTTTCCCTCGTCGGGGATAGAGAGGTGCAGACGGGGACGAAGCGACTCCGATCGTATCGATCTCGATCGAGGCGTCTGATAATTGGTTCTGAGATGGGATCATTCGTTCCTGATTTTTTTTTTTGACACTTGTGAGAACAGGATCTGCCTGGTTGCTTATGCACGCCGGAGCTGTCAAGGCCGGTCGTTTTTCGATCGCGACGCTGACCGGTCAATCTGAGATGAATTGGCTTTCCATCTGGGACTTGCCGTGTATCAAAGCGATGTCAAAGGCGGGGGTGGGAGTTTCTTTTGTTGGGCGGCTGATTTGGGAAGCGCTCCAAAATGGCAACATGGACTCAAGGCGGATTTATGGGTAAGGCATACCCTCTGGCATAACTTGGATGTGTGAAGGCGTCTTGAAACGCGTTGCGTACATATGCAGTGGTAAGTGAAAATTCAATTTTTTCTTTCAGAGTAGAAACGTGAGGCTTATATATTTAATTAATATTAAGTTAATATTATGTGAAATCATTTTTCTAAATGATTGGAAGCTTATTATGTTCAAGTTTCCTGGGCCAGCGTTTCCAATCTAAACCATTCGGAATGCCAAAATGTGCGACTGAGTCGTAACACCTGAAGCGTAAAATAAGAGTGAAATAATGTAAATCCCATATTCTCCAAAAAGGAAAACCTCAGAGACTTCTGAAACACGCAAATGTTGGAAAAAAAAAGTCCTACCCGAGACCGAGGGCGAGTTTCATCCTTGTCCCATGGATCGAGGGCCTGGGCGTAAGATCAAGCCGCACAGTCGACGCGTTTTCCTAGCACAGCACTGTCGACTCCGACTCGAAGAAAAGAGTTTCACGTGCAGAGTGGTGGGAGCTGGTGCATGGTGAGCTCCGCCTGGGTCGGTGCTCGTGGTACAACTGGCAGGGGCCCGGCGAGGGACGCTCCGAGGCATTCATTGGAGGAGGAGGTCGGGGCATCTTCGACCTTCGCGCGCTAGGGGCATCTTCGACTTACGCGCTCTCGGGGCATCTTCGACTTACGCGCTCTCGGGGCATCTTCGACTTACGCGCTCTCGGGGCATCTTCGACTTACGTGCTCACAGGGCTCGTTCAGATGAAAGCTCAGAGTTATCTTCGCGATTTCGTGTTGGACTGTTGATGGGAGGATCGACAAAGAAGCGAATCGCTGCATCGAACCGTGAAAACTGCTATCGGTGAAGTGCAGCTCGGGAAATGCGCGCTTCGTCGCGAGTGGTTTTCATGCAAAGGCGTTTCAAATAATTATTTAAAAAAAAAAAGCAATTTGTTGTATATTCTGGGAATATGAAGTCACTCTCGATAGCCGACTCGTATTTGGTTGGATATATTACACAAGCCAAATCTAACGAAATCTAATAAAATCTCGCGAAATCAGCAGCTGATTAATGCAAATTTCTGATTCATATCTGAAAATCAGCATAGGTTTAGATTACAGTATTTGTTCGCTTCTTTGAAAACATTCTTTCAAAGCAAACCTCCACGGGGCTAGAAAAAAAAAAGTATTTTTCTTCCACATCACAGATGGGCCACAAATAGAATTCAAAATCACTTCACTCCGAAGTAATTTGAGACAACTGAATCCCAATGAGCAAATCTCGAATCCTGCACCCACGGTGTAGGAAGGAAGCGGACTCGAATCACGACTCCCCGACCACCGACGCCCACACACGTAACGCAAACGAAGATGAGGAGATGGGGGCACTGACGGGGCCGAGAATCGGAGGCAAGATTTCACGACGTGGGGGGCGTGCGGCAACCCTGTATCCAACGGAGGCAAAGGTGCTCACTTAATCCTTATTGGGATAGGGCGAGGAGGCCTGTGGCAACCCTGCATCCAGTGGAAATGAAGGTGCTAGTTTGATTAATGTAGGAGAGCATGTGGCAACCCTGTGTTCAGTGGAGGTAAGGGTGCTCGCTTGATTCTTATAGGGATCGGGCGAGGAAGCATGTGGCAACCCTGAATCCATTGGAGGCAAGGGATGATCGGATTCCATTTAGGAATCGGGCGGGAAGGCAGAGGATGTTGCGGCGCGGTCGTGACGGCGGCGAGACGTGCATTAGGCTAAATCTCTTTCGTGGGCTGGTCCTGAGATTAACATTAGGCTCTTTAATCGCTTGCGATTGCATGCGATTGTAGGGGATCCATCGGGGTAAGAAGAGGCCAGCGCGTTCCTGTGCGTGCATGTATAACGCTGAGTTCATTCGAATGTCAGATTTGTGATACTGAATATGATAAATATGAATTTGAGAGATTTGAATCGAGGAGAATGGAGACGCATGCATCGATATGCACTAGGCCTACGTGAGACGTCGGCCGAAGAAGCATCCAGTCGGGACGAGGCCTTCAACAAAAGACAATGCTCTCAATCGCCCAATCACTCAATGATTAAACGACCCTCGAGAAACGCTGCCCTCCCCGTATGATCCATCAAGCTATGACCCCTCCCCCCCCCCTGCCCCCTCCCCTCCCCTCTCCCCCTGAGGATTCCGGAGGTGATGTTCCCGAAAAGACTCAAAATCTCATTTCCGCATTTGTTGTTTTCGCGCCTCCCCGCGACCCGCGGGGTCAGATGAATCGCCGTCGGGCACTAAGCAAAAACAGCCGGGCCCCCTTTCTCGTCCCCTCGTGACCGGATTCCTCAGGATTCCGTGGATCATCCGGGGATTTCGCCGGATAGCCTTTTCCGCTGATGCAAGCCGAACGAAGAAAACACCGCCGAAGACACGCCGGGATTGATAGGTCGTGTTTTCCACTCGCGGTGATTATGATCGCTTTTCCACGCCCTTTACGGAATCCGGCATCCACGGAGGCCCTGCCGTGAGGCGACTGAACTGTCGCCTTCTCCCTCGAACTGCAGATGTCTCTGGGGTCGCGCGGATTTTCATTCGGCGGGTTACAGGCCTAGAGTAATCGGTTTTCCATAACGGCGAGTCATTTTTGCGCTTCAGGAAATGAATTAGTCCTTGCTGACGTCTGAAGGTGTTCCTTCTTCATTATCGTCGGAATTTATGTTGAAATCTTCTCGTTCTTCGAATTCCCGAGCGGTTGAGGCGGCGTTTCGCTTGACCTTTAGAGTGGGGATGGAGACGTTGGCGCTGAAGGTCACGTGGGAATCCTAGAAGGGAAATTTTTGCATATAATCTGAAATGCATCGAAATCAGAGTCAGTTTTTTTGGTACGATTACACGGATATTACACATTACACTACATTACACGGAACACATTACATTACAACTACGTTCCTCGAGACAGCCCGATGCATTAACCTCTCTTTGCATAGCCCCGTGATGCGATTGAATCGTTCCGAGTTGAAAAAAACCGGTCGATTCTGCGACGAATTTCGGAGAATAGATAGCGTCTGTGATGCCATCTTGGCTGAAAGTTGCCGAACCGCAATGCATTAAGACGGACGGAATGTGTTTCATATGAAATACATGAAACAGCATGAAATTCGATGGATTGCCAAGAACAATACGGGACACTTCGGGACACGGAGTGGAATAGGCTACAATCGAAACAATGGCAATCAAAAAGCCAAATGAAATTAAATGCGAGGAATTCACTCGGCGACACGTCTCTGCGTCAGACACATAGATTCAGCCCCCCCCCCCTCCCACCCCGTCTACACACACGCACACACACGCACGCACACACACAGGTATGATTTTATGCATGGCCGCAAACCAGGAAGAGTTAGAGACAGCAGCACAATCAATAGAAGGGAGGGAGGGAAGGAGGGAGTGGGGAGGAAGGGAAGGAGGGAGTGGGGAGGAAGGGAAGGAGGGAGTGGGGAGGAAGGGAGGGAGGGACTGGGGAGGGAGGGAAGGAGGGAGTGGGGAGGAAGGGAAGGAGGGACTGGGGAAGAGGGGTTAAAAAAGTTTGAAACCCGCCAAAGGGCTGAAAAGCCCCTCACCCTCTCTAGGCAGATGAGGGAGTGAGTCTTCGACAACAACCCACATATTTGGCGCTCAGCCTCTCCGGGGCGCTGGACATGGGAGAAACGAAAGAAATGGTCTCACATTCTAAGAACAGTATTCAAATAGAAATCGAAAAGACAATGCAGGTGGGGAAAGAGTCCGCCCTTAGTCTCTGTCCTTCCAAACCCTTGTGATTAATATGGTTATGCTGCTGCTTTGCTTCCTGTCATTCGATTTGTGTTCGTCGCGTTGGAACTCGTAGATTTACAGATGAATGAGTGGCGGAGGTCTATCAAGAGTGCATCTTAGGGAAACACGATATAAAAGGACATCTCTCAGTCACTGCGCAAGTGTGAAATGCAAGACAATATGGCGCCGACGTCGAATGCAAGGCGAATCGGCGAGGACAGGCCCGGCGGAAGCACGAGAAAATCGGAGGAGCCTCCGCGTCGATGCTCGTGGTGACCTTGCGTGTCCGGGATGAGCCTGGATCAGGGATATCGGGGGGGAAGGGGTAAAAGGAGTCAGTGGGTTCGCACCTTCGATGTGACCGACCCCATCCTCCATCGTCGGGGTTACACCGTTTACAAAGTTCTCTCGAGGGTGAGTGTCTTTCCTATAGAAAGCAAGAACTTAGGCCTGCTAGAGCAATCAGGCCTAATGAGAGCGTGAGTGTAGGCCAAGGTCTAGGTCAGGAACGGACAGCCTTTTATGACTCGAGAGCCTAATTTGGAACCGGTGGGGACACAAAAACCGCAAGCCCTTGGCAGATGAAGAGCCACCTTGTGGCTCGTGAGCCACAAGCTGACCACCAATGGTCTCAGCCTGTTTACAATGATTTGCAGTTTAATTCACCCCATTGTTTACCTCTTGAGCCACTTCCTTGTATGTATATGTGGAAAGTCTAGAATAGCCAGGTAGCAAGGTAAAATGGGGTTTCTTTCAATGCACAGCACAATTTAAAATTTCATCAACGTATTGATATTCTCTCATCTGAATTCATTTGAAATAGGTCTTATTTTTAGGTTGAATTTAGTCTTCAGTTTCTTCACATAGTTGTCATATGTGTCTGTGTGTGTCTGATTTCATGTGTAATGGATCTTGAGGATGTGGTACTTATTCAGACAGCAACTGATGATGCAGACAATGGCAAAGCTAAATTCTCTGTTGCAAATAATGCGAACAATTAGTGATGTAATTATGCCTCTTCCTGGAATACAGCACTTATAATTGATAAATTGGTACAAAGCCCATGAATGCATTACCCCTCCATCTCTTTGTCTCTGAAGCTCTATTGATTCTTCCACCCACAAGTAATAAAGGTAGCAGAGTGATGAGAATTGTTTCAATTTGGTAACCCCACTTATGACAATTACTTTGGGATAATTTATTTATTAATAGTTAAGATCTGCTAGTGCCTTGCTTGAGTGAAACAGACCATGACAACAAATTTATTATTTATTATTGAAGATTGTTCAATTCAATTAAACTTCAATACCCCTCCAATCTTAATCTAGGCCTTTTGGTATGTTGCAGCTAGCTTCTCATAGCCCTTTCTCCATGGACATTCCTGCAGAACTGTAATAAGTTCAGTGTAAGCCTACCTGGTAAATAATATTCTATAATTATTGGGTGCTTAGATATAGGCTTCAGTTATGAGGCAGCATTAGGATCCAAGTGGCACTGAAATCTGTATTTTTTCATTATTTATCTAAATCTGAGAAAAGATCTGTAGCATCATTGAATTAAACTATTCTGGTTTTTTTGTTGAGACCAGTTAGAAATAGCACCTAGGTCTGCTTCTGAGAGATTTGCAGTGCCTTGGAACTGCATTTAGCTGCCTTAGTATATCTGATCAAAGATGCATTCATGTTAGTTCAAATCTTATCAATACCTTCTTAAAGTCCTGTTACAACAAGTGAGTGTAGGGATGGATGGAATATGGAATGCAGGGATGATTCCTGAAAAGTTTATGAGCCTATCAAGAACTGAATATTACTAAGCAATTTACATTGCAATTGATGATTAACTTATTTAACATTGTCATGATTTGCTTAGTCACTCTGAGAAGGAAAATCTCAATGTGGGAGTTGTTAAGTGACATGGAATTTTTTATATTCAATTGCAGGTATTTCCAAGCATGGCACCTGAGGCAGCAACAGAGGTGAGGCTCTTTCATATGTGAAATATGCTTCTGAGTAGCAAAAGTATGCTGTAAATATCCTGTAATAAAAAAAATTCCTTGATACTTGTGCTCCCACAGATCATCACATGGAAGAGGTATAGTGACTTCAAGAGGCTTCATAAGGAGATGGAAGTACTCCATAAGGCCTTGCATCTGAAGGGAATATTTCCTCAGTTTCCTAAGAAGAGTGTGTTTGGCAGGTGGGTCTTTTCCCTTGGCTTATCATTGGTATCAGGTGCCATTCTTCACAAGTGATATGATAGGAGCAAGAAGAAGTTGGTATTTCTTTTATGACTCAGCTCTTATATTTCCCTGGATATAGAATGTCCAAACTGTGATTCGAATCATATTTTTTAAAATAGTGTTTTGTTTCTCCTTGTGTGTAGCTTTCCTTTTATAGTACTGTAGTACATCAGTGTTGATGCACTTGTGTTGAATATTGTGTGGGACTCGTATTGGTCTAGAGTGTGTCTGGTACTCGGCATAAGTTTTTGGGAGGTAAGGGGTCCTGTGCCCTCCCCCTTCCTTCCCAACTTGGTGAATGTTAAAGGGGGCACTGGCTCAGTGGTGAGGCTTTGGGAGGTGGCTATAAGGTTGAGGATAGAATTAAAACTAAAATCAGATCTTTTCAATCTCAGATTCAACTTTTAACAACTTAAGGTAGACTGTGAAAGTTTGAAGTAAGAAAAAAGTAACTGGATCTTGGTGAGGTAAATGGGAAAACTTATTTTGGCTAGAAAAAAATATTAAAAAAAGACCCTGTCATCCACTCACAATGGAGGATTTACAATTTGGTATGTATGATGCTTGAAAGTTGTAGCTGCAGACCTGAAGGCATGATATAATGTTTTGGTGAAATTTACCCTCATATTTCCCTGAGTTGGCTTTAAAAGAAAGCCTTTAGAAGAACTTCTTGAGGGAAAAATTTCTCCTTTGGGAAACTGTGAGGGGCTTCTCTCCTTCATTCAGCTCTCTTGTTTAAAAAAGTTATGTCCCATCTTATTGGGCTGGTATAGGGAAATGCACGATTGGGTCTTCTCCTTTTCTAACCTCATTTCCTCTTCTGCCTCCCAAACTGCTCTTATTTGCATGTCTACCATCTCCCTCATTACTCTTCCTACTTTTTCATTATATGCTTCTTTTTATCTTCAGTCCATCCCATCTCTAAATTCTCACATTTTACTGACTCATACTTACCTGACATGCATTTATTTCTTCTGATACTCCTTTCCTCTGTCACAATGATTTTCGAGGGAATGAATCTCTCTTCAACTTGCTACATCTAATGCATTTTTTCTTCCAACAGTCCTCTGCAGTCTGTTCTGACTACTCGAAAAATGAATGTAATCTACTAATGGATCTCCTGCTTGCCTTCCTTGTCTGTAGCTTCTATCTATATCTCTTCTGTCTGACACCTGTCTTCTGTGTTTATTCTGATTTCTGGATAAGGAAAGGACCTGATGTGCTCTATGTCTTGTCATTTATTCTTTTTTTTTTTTTTTTTTTTTTTTTTTTTTTTTTTTTATTTTTAATATTTTTTTCTAGCCAAAATAAGTTTTCCCATTTACCTCACCAAGATCCAGTTACTTTTTTCTTACTTCAAACTTTCACAGTCTACCTTAAGTTGTTAAAAGTTGAATCTGAGATTGAAAGGAGGAAAGCTGCTCTTGTCCTGCTGGAATTCATTGCTCAATATCCTCCTCTCTTCACCAGCCAGGGATTCTCCAAGTTCTTCGAGGTTAGCCCACTTCCTATTTTAGATGTCTTGCCTGATGCTGTTGGCGGTGTTCAATTATGCTTATTGAGCTGGCAGCAGGTTTGCAGAGTTCAGCCATTGAGGCAATTGGCAGTTTAAGCAGTTGAATGTTTCAAGCCAAGACATGGTAGATGATGCTCTACTCTTACCCTGCTTGTCATGATGAGTCCACAGTGTGAAAATCCCTTGCTCATTGTCATGGTTCACCTTCATGGGTATTGTTCACTGACCACATATCAAAGTAGCATACAGTTGTGATATTGGGCTGATTCTGCAGGAGGGTCAAGAGGTGCGGCCGTACAACGAGGTTGAGACACTCAAGGATCCCCCTTTGATTGACGAGTTTGGTCAGACCAACATCCCAAAGGAACCTGCAGGGAAACAGAGGACTCAGGAGGAGATTGAAGACCTTCTAGCATCAGCTGAGCAGGAGACTGTTAATGAAACAGAACAGGGGTATGGCATGATTTCAGATTTCTTTCAGTCTATAGAAATATCTCATATTTTACACGTATATATTCCATCAGTCCCAAATGTTATCTAGTCAAATCTTTCTCATGAAATTTTATTTATTTATTATTAAGCAGGAGCTTACCATCCATACTTGTTCAGTGGATCAAAAAATTTTAAGTTAAATTTTCATTGGTTGGTTTCAGTACACTTTGTCTTTGTGGCACCCCAATAAGAAGAAAGGACAAGATTTGAGGTCATGAAAAACTAATGAAACTAATGTTTCAGAGAAGACTTTGCCTGCTCTGTTTTGCATGATTCAGAAAATGGGATGCTGTTCAAGTCAATAGTTCACACATTGAACTAAATTCAATGTGCATTAAGACCATAAATATTTATCCAGTGTAGTTTATGCATCCAGACTGATTTTTCAGTTACATACTTGGTTTTATAGTAGTTGGAAAAAAATTTGAGATATTTAAAAAAATTTTCAATATCACTCATTGTTTTAGAGAGTACTTCTGTCTGGTACTTAGTTTTATTGTTTTAGAGAGTACTTCTGTACTAGTGTCTGGAAATGTCTGGGGCATCCTAGGGAATGTTAAGCTGGCAATGTTAACTTTTGCTCTTTTTTTGAGTCTTTAATGCTAAAGTTGTTGCCATCTGATATGCCCTGTCAGGACCTCCCAGCTTGGTGGAATCTGGAATCACCCATGCCCTGATGATCCTTTGAGCTTGTCTGGATCATCAGATGATGATGCCTGTGAGGAACACACAAATAATCAAAGTGGTAATAATGAACAAAATCCAGTGAACCCATCTAATTTGTTCTCACTTGGACCTTCATCTCCAGCAAGACTCAAAAACCCTGAAGACTCGGAGTCAAAAGTGAAGTCTGTTCAATCAGGCCCTGAGGCTGACTTAGACCTTGCCTTCAAATTCCCTGAGCCACCCACTGAAGATCCAGAGACTCCAATCTTGTCTGTCCCATCTGTGACTGATCCAACAGAGACCACCAGTGATTCCTTCTCTCCACTGACTCCAATTTCTCCATTCCCTGGTGCCACTGAGTCATGTGCTGGCCCAGATGCTCATTATTTGTTTGCAGCTGCTCAGACTTTTAGTGCTGCACAGGATCTTGAGGCCATAGGGTCCTATTATGATGCTTTCCTAAAGTACAAGGAGGGAATTGGTACTCTTCTTCAAGGAGTCCAAAGTGAGCTGATTTTGTCATCACCCGAGGGTCAGTTTTTAGAGATGGTATGTTATAATATGCATTCATATTTTACATTCCAGCTGACAAGAGCTTTGAGAGAAGGGAGGCTGTCCGAAGGAAGACATCACATTATCTGGAGAGAGCAGAATCTATCTACAACCAGTATCTGGCACAAGGTACAGGCCCTTCCTCCAATGCTCCAGCACGGTCTGTAAGTCTTTTTTTATCCGAGTACATTCAGTCCAAGATATGAAATCACTCCTGTGAATGCCATGAATGCCTTGCACTCACACTCAAGCTCTTGTCTCGTCGTGCCAAGAGACAAGGCTGCATGCTCTTCATCTCTTAATCACTGCTTTGATTGCAGCCTTTAGATGTCCGAAGGATCTGGATATGGAACGTGCATCATGTAGTGGTTGGTGCTAAAGCAGAAGTCATTCTGATTCTGCCATATTGTACATGTAGGATTCATGTTGCATTTCAATGAGTGAAGCATTGCAGTTGTACCTTTTAGTCATTTGAAAACATGACCTGATCCACCATTGATTGAGTAGTTTCTAATGATGATGGCAGACCAATATACACAGTAGGATTTAGGGTACTCTATGGCAGCATTTCTCATCTGGGGGTCCTCAGACCCTTTGGAGCCCATGGCATGGCTTCAGGCTATGAAACCATGCCCAGAGAAAAGTAAGAAATGAACGAAAATATTAATGTTAACCCTTAAACGACCAAGCTAAGTCAAATTTTGTCGTAACATGCGAAACTTTGAGGCTTGGCAGTTTAAGGGTTAAAAGAGTTGTATGTCAATTGAAAGATTGTTTTGGGGTTGGCTGGAAATGAAACCTACATGTGTCCCTGTGCTATTGTTTGTCTTTTCTAAAAATTGGTACAGTTACCTGATATTAAAGTCAAAAGACATCTCATTATCTTGTAAAAAACAAAAAAAAGTTTTTAAATTAAAATTCTCTTTATTAAAGATCTTTTATTTAAAAAAATGATTCATGGAAAATTTTTTGCCAAAATTAGTGGATTTCTTTTCCTGATTCTTTTTTTTTTCATATGAAACCTTTTATGAAGTGATTTTTAATATATTAAGGGCCTCATATTGCTTCTTTTTTTTCTGAGGAACTCTTAAGCCAAAATAATGAGAAGACAAAGGCAAAGAGCAAGTTAATGATTCAAGATTATAAATTGTTTTAGACTTGTTAGTTTGGCTCATCTCCATCCAATACTGATGATTATACCTGGGAAGTCTCACTTTTCTTGCAAAAGGGATTCATTGAACTGGTCTACAAAAAAGTGAAGCATGAAATCACCCAAAGAAACTCATCTTATAGAAGCTCAGATGGTTGAAGCTTTACATTCCAAACATGGGCTTCCATATTTGAAGCCCATGTTTGATAATGAATGTTGAGGGAGTAAAAAGTAAAACATGCAACCTCTTCCCTCTTGAACAATACCAGTTGGTCTCTCATGAGAGTGATCAACTGGTAATAGTGGTGATAATCATTGATTAATGGGGTTTGTTGGGAATTCAATGTTGTAATGCAAAGCTCTCATCTGCATCTGGTGTGCTTTGCCATGCACTCATGTTGCCAGCTTCATCATGGAATCAAACTATTTGTTGATCATATTGAAAGGAAGACTCCAGTGGTGTATCATCAGGGATTTAGAAATTATAATCTCTTTCCATGCATGATGGCATGCCATTAAAACTTTGCTCTACCTCACTTATGAATTTTAGTTCTTATTCTTAATCAGTACCTTTAAAGTAACTTCTTTAAATACCTTCTCTTTTTAGTTTTTGTGTTATCTTTAGTGGTTAGCACTGTTACATGATAAGAAAGAGGCCTGTACAGTTCCCCTCTATTTAAGAGTTTGCAGGTTAGAAAATGAAGAGAAACAATGGTGATGGTGGACATATTCATTTGCATTGTGGGATTCCCAAAGATAATATCGATGTTTCATATTGGCATCTCTCTCAGTATCTCACTCTTCACAGATGTATTCTCATGCACTATAGTATGAGCATTTTGTGAATTTGCCTTCATGTTGATGTTCCTTTCTTGTGGAGAGCCATAATGGGGGATTTTCTCAACTCTTCTCTCTTATGACCACTAATTAGACCTACATTTAATTGTGTTACTGAGAGCTTGGTTTTCATAATGATACATGTAGACATGTTTTGACTTTAGGAGCAGATGAAGGCCTCCCCCATTCGGGCCACGGAGCGCCTCCGGGCCCCTCTCACTGAACTCAATTCATACAAAGTCCTGGGTGTCGTAGATGGAGTACTCCTAGCCTGGGATAAAACTTCCCAAAATCATTGTATCATTAAGGTAATTTCCATTTTTCCTCTTTTTCAACTTTAAATTGTTTTTTGGTGTTGTGGGATACTCATGTCTTATGTCCTCCTGATACCTCTCCTTAGATAATTACAAAATCTGTGGATCCAGTTCTAAAAAACAAGCCAACTATTGTCCCCTATGATGTTCCCTTTTTGGTCAACTTGGAATGCTTCTTTGAAACAGAGTCTGCCATTTATCTTGTCTTGCAGTATGCTCGGTGAGTTTTGTGTATTTTCAATTTTTTAGATACTGTAAAATATTTGAGTGATTTATTGATGTTTCTTTGGAACTTTGTAACCTCAAGCATAAGTCACTTAATGGAAATATATTTCTGTGATTCTTTGCTTCCAAATATCCCTTAGGCCATCAAGAATGACAGAATTGGTCAGATTCAGTTCTCATTAGGTCTTTAAAGGTGAAGCAATATCCAATTGTTTCATTTAGGTCATTGATTGACTATGAACAATGATGTGTGTGAGTTTTTTGGGGGGGGAATTTTTGCTATTGGGGCAAAGGGTGTCACAGGGTTCACACTGGCTTTTTTTTTTATATTGTGCCCATGGACTCAAAGTGCTTAGTATGTTGAGTCAAATCTTACTTAGTCAAAACTGGACTTTTTGCACAAAAAATCACTGTGGCTGTCTACTCTTTGGAACTGAGTCACATGCAAGGTCTCAGGACTGGGGCAGCCAGCAGAGAGGTAAAGAATACACCTTTCCAAATCCAAACCAAAAGTGAGTGGCAAGACAGATCCCTTCCATCTTTCTGTATTCACCTGGTTGAGACACCTGCAAGAGTCTTTGTGTATTATCTACCAAAGCAAAGACAGAGAAAACTTTTCAAATATTTAAAAACTATCTTGATTAGGGTACATAATTCTGAGCAATGAATGGGAAAATAAAGTTGGCACACAAAGATACTGGAGGTGCTTTCTAAAATTTTTCATTTCACTCCAAATGGAACCAGTACAGGCAATCAAACTGGAGAATTAAATCTTGATATCTTGGAAGAGCATTGGAAGATTTTTGAGGCTGCCAATCACATGGCCATGGTGACATGGAAGACATCATGAGGAAAACAGTGTGCTATGATTGACTACATCCCCTATAGGTGCTGCCAGGCATGGAATGGTAAGATTCATCCAGGCATATTTTGCAAGCCAGTCAGTAAGAAAGGGAGAAGTGGAAAGCAGCATTCCTATGAAACCAGTATTAATGTAACCCTTGCCATATGTTGGCAGTGCCTATACAAGTATCTTTGATTAAGGAGCCTGGGATGCACAGAACTAAGCAGGAGTGCATGAAATGCCCTTCCTCACCATCCATCAATGTCAACACCAGTAATAGCTCTGGTTGCTGGATTTTGATCAGTAATATAAAAAAGGAAAAAAAAAATTACAGGCATCTGTGCATTGCAAATTTGAGTCATCTCTTCCAAAAAATATGTCAGGACTCACTATGGTGAGTTAAGGGGAACCCTGAGTATCTGGTGCCATTTCAAATTCCTATTAACACTCATTCAAGGGAATTTTCCCAAATGCTAACCTTATTAATGTCTTGAGCATTGGTTTCATATCTGTGATGCCATATGTCAGCTGGAAGGTGAAGGAAACATTCATTCTTACAGGCTATGATTTGTGTCTTAAACTGAGGTTAATAAAGTGCATTGCTTTTGCAGTGGTGGGAAACTATGGGACTTTGTTTCCTCATATATCCATTCCAACATTAGTACTCCCGTTAGAGTGACATCAAGAAGTAGATTATCTTCAATCAACAAGGGTTCAAACATCTATTCTGGCCTGAGGTTAAATGAAAGAGACTCTGCAACTGATCTGGATACTTCATCTGTGACACCTACCAATCCAAAATCATCAGACTTTGCCACTGACCCAGACTTGGAGGCCTCCAACGAGTGTCCAGAGAGCTTCCTCCAGTTGTTTGTCATTGGAAGTGGAGGATCTTCAGATACGAGTGAGGAGCATATTCCTGCAGCTGTATCTAATTCAGCAGTTGATGCTTTTGAAACCAAAGAATCCAGTGAGACATTTGACAGGAGTCTAGTCCGCTCCACTGCTGGGGATGTGGAGGATCTCATTGTCAGTTCTCAGCAGCTTTTAAGTAATGTTGAACGGGTTTTGGCCATCCACAAGGATCATTCCAAGGATGTAGAAGATTGCAAGGAGAAAAATGGGGAAGTGATGTCGCTGCTGAAAAGAAGAGGAAATAACCGTGAATTGAGGATATCTGCTGAGAAGTCAAGTAGGAGTGGAAGGAAGAGGAGTGTGTCCTTTGACATAGATACAAATGAATTGAGGAGTTGCATGTCGACACCGAGTCACATGGCCGTAAGGTGGAGGCCTTCCAGCGGAGAATCCCATTTAGAGGAACTCCGTACCCCTCTAGGCCATTTGCCTGAATCTTGCATCCACCAGTGGGCAGCAGAAATTGTGACTGCAGTCTCCTGTCTTCATGATCTGGGCATTGTTTGCAGGTACAAAACTCAGTTTTTGCTTGTCTTCTTTTGCATCTTGAGTTGGAATTTCTCTGCAATAAGAATGTTATTTTTCAGTGATCTGAATCCCTCCAATATTCTGCTGGGTGAAGGGGGTCACATTCTCCTCACCCATTTCTCCTCTTGGCCCTGTGTGGATCGTGTGATCTCAGTCGAGACCTATGAGGGAGGCTATGTGGCCCAAGAGGTCATGTTAGGTCATGCCAAGGCTTCTAAGGCTGCTGACTGGTGGAGCATTGGGGCACTGCTATATGAACTTCTGTGTGGCCAGGTTTGATAATCCTCTGCTTGTTCCACAATAGCCAATTCAAAATAATTGTTCTCCTGTTGTGCAAGTTGTATCCCTCACAAAAGGGACCATTATGGAAGGACTTCACATAAATAAGCTCAAAAATCAATATTCTTTGCTTTCTTGGGATCCTGTTCCCTTTCCCTCTTTTTTTGCCTTCATCTGCATTCCATTAGTGTACCCTCCTTTGCCACTTTCGGTGGAAAACCCTAATTTTGTCTGTTTGCAATAGCATTTGATCCAAGGATATAATGCTGTTACTTCTTTGAGGAAATAAAAAACCCAAAGCACTCTTTTTTTTGAGGAGCCTATTTGTATTGACAACTATTGGTCTGAGATCTGCAACAATATAAGAAAGAAGTAAAAAAATAGTGTACCTCTATTTTATCCATCAGTAATGAGGTTTTTTGCAATACTGGGATCACAAATGAGGTTTCTGCAACATTGTTATTCTCTCTGAAAATAGAAAGAAGTTTATGCAAATAAATGAAAACCAGCATATGAAAGGATAGCGAAGAAGGAACAAAAAGTATTTGATCATCTTGGTTCATGTAACCATGAATGCCTGTTTTGGCTTGTGTTTTGGTTCCTTCCCTGTTTTCTCTTTCATATTCATATTTTTTTATAATGAACTTTTATTCATTTGACAATTTGTTTCTGAATCCCTTTTCATTCCTTGTAAAATCCTATCCAGACAGTTGGCCACATTTCATCAAACTTTTGTGAACAAATGACAAGTATGGTAAAAATTTATCATTTTGACAGGCATGCCTTCCAAATTTGCTTCAGGCAAATATGTGGAGAAGTCCATGTTTGCCAAATATTTGTAAAGTTGCTTTTTTGATAACCTGGATAGTTTGAATCATTGTGACTGTATTACTGAGAGTAATACTAATATTAGGAATTTGTAGATAAAAAGTTTGCATTCTATATTATTTTAGGTTTCTTCTGTTCTGAATCCCTTAGCCTTTATCTGAACTTGGTAGAGCCCCTTCATATCAAGCAGGATCCAATTCAACTAGCCAAGCTGGAAGTGGCATTCTGAAACAATTTTATATATAATTTGTTTCAAGCACATATAAAAGCATGTTTCCTCCTTTCTAAATGCCAGTTAGTACATTTTTAGTTGATGAGTGGCATGAAACTCCCAGTGGAACATGTGAACTGGGATTTAATTACACATTTTTCCTGCAGTCCTTGGTATCGGCTCACCCTGGAGGAGTGCACCAGTACACTACTCTGCGCTTCCCTGATCATCTGTCTGAAGAGGCCAAGTCCTTGCTCACACAGGTAAGATCAGCCACACATACTCTCTTCTTTTTCTAATTAATGCTCTTAATTTTCTAATTGACATCATTAGAGCATATCTCATCAGAACCAATATACATGTACAGGATGACAATAAAGTTCTTGGAACAAGTTTATTGCCATCTACCACCAAAAATGATTAGCCAAAAAAATGAAACCTAAAACATAGAGACCCATGTAATGAATAAATGATACTAGTTGTTTTCAATGTGGCCCCCTTTAGCTGCCACTACTGCCCTGAGCCATTTGTGGAAGCTTTCGGCTGAGTTTCGTAGCTGTTCGGGGGGAATTTCATCCCATGCCTTGACCATAGCTTTCTTTAAGTCAGCAATTGTCCTATGGGGCTTAGAGCTGGGCTTCGCCTCTAACATCCCCCAGATGGCGAAGTCCATGGGGTTCGAGTCTGGGCTGCTGGAGGGGCACTCGTCAGGCTGGATGAAGTCTGGAAAATTCACTTTGCACCACGCGTCAGTTGCTCAGGCCTTGTGGAATGGGGTGGAGCCCTGCTGGAAGGTCCATTTATGGCCCCTAAATTGCAGGAAGCCTTACAACTGTGGACAGGGAAGCAATTTAAGGGCCATAAATGGACCTTTCAGCAGGACTCCGCCCCATCCCACAAGACCCGAGCAACTTCGCATGGTTCAAAATGAATTTTCCAGACTTCATCCAGCCTGACGAGTGCTCCTCTAGCAGCCCAGACTAACCATGAACGGTAACAGGCCTTTTTTTAGGACTGTGTACCGGCGTGCAATCCAGCTGGTACTAGACGACCTGTCTGACTACCTGTCCCCACCATCAGTACCTTCCGTGAATACGGGTAGGAGCGATTCGGTCTCGGAGAATCTACGTCCTCGAATACCGGTCATCCCTGGGCGCCAGGATCCGAGGGGGACCTGATTCTTGTTGGCCAGCCCCATTCTGATATGGAGTCCACCAACACCGGACGGTAGTTTACACTTAGCCGATGCGCAACCTGATGCATGCCATGGCCTACCTCCATCATGCCAACTAACCGACCTCGATCGAACTGGTGAAGTTGGCGAGACTGCCTCTGTGGACGTTGTCCTGGCATGGCTTTAAAGACGAAAAATAAACAATTGAAGCAAAGCAGAGTGAATGGAGGGAAGCAGAAAAGCAAACTGGCCTGATTGGTGTAGTCGCCCTTTTCCCCATCCCTCAGGGCGTTCGACTAGCTCGGCAAGTTTTCCCTGCATCGCTTCATCCTATGACCTTGAGACTTCGCTCCATTGTACTAAGCATCAGTAGAAGTTCCTATTTCACATTTCATTAATAAACTCCTAGATGTTCTATGTGGGCGATAAGTTCGACCCTTCCGACCCCATTTAAATTGGGATATTTGACAAGTTTTCTCTGCGAATATTCAACCTACGACCTTGAAACTAGCATCAATTTCATTACGCACTAATACGAGTATGATTACCAAATTTCATCAAGATTGCTCGACTCCTTCTTGGTGTTACTTTTTTTGGCGATGAGTTTATGTTTCAAGTTTCATTTTTTTGGCTAAACATTTTCGGTGGTAGATGGCAATAAAACTTGTTCCGAGTACTTTATTGTCATCCTGTATATGCTATGGTAACATGAACATATTCTTTAAGACATGAGTCTGCAGTAGTCTGTGACAAAACCACTCTTCACCACTTCATATGGTGAGATGTTTCCAAAAAAATTTGCTTAAATCCTCACTGAAGATATGAAGAGCCAGTCTTGGGGATTCAGTAGAGTGCATTTGCTACCTGTGCCAATGAATTCTAGTACAGTATTTTGTTTTGAATCCAGTTGTTGAGAGCAGATCCAGTGGAAAGGCTGATGGTGGATGACATCCGAGCTCATCCTTTCTTCCAGGACATCGACTGGTCCTCGATGAAGTGAAACAGGCACCTGTGGCATCTGTGATTCGCATCATTCCATTGTCTGTGACGACATGACCGATATTTCCTTGTGATCTGACGAAAAGATGATGGATGTTTTAAGATCCTGATGTATGTATTTCACAAGATCTTGAACATTGTTCAAAACGTGATAGACAATTCCCAAAGCTCTCTGTACTCTTTTATCACCATCTGCCACCTGGGTCTGTGGGTCAGACATTCAAAACTTGACAATTGAACTATTTTCACTTGAAAACATATTGATTTTCAAAACATAACTTCCATTTTCTATGACTAAGGACATTCCATTCGGCTCAATGCTGGTATAATAGAGGGGGATTTTATTCTTGGACTTATTTTATCTGTGCCAAAAGGCATCAACTGCAGTTTCTTGAGTCATAACCAGAGTGTATTCCTAGTTTTATGATAGGTGCATCAAAGGAGTTTATATGACTTTGAATAAATGCATTCCTTATGAAATGAAAGTGTTGACATTTCAATCGTATTTGAACAGAAGTAAAAACTAACATGTAGTCCAAAACCAAAGAAAGGAAGTTATTTACTCTAATGTCCATAATTTATTCGCTATGACTCCCCTGACCTAAAATTCTTGACCGATTAGAGAACAAGGGCCAAGAGGGAGGGAAATTCCTTTTCCTGAAAGACCCCGGCATGGGAGATGCATCACCACCGGGGTTAGAATTTAACTCTTCGGATGAGAAATCGATCCGTTTCGATGACAAGATATGTAGGTCTTATTAAAGTGAGGCTTTCTCATTGATGAGAATATAATGGAATAAATTAAAATTCGCACCTCAAAATTTTTACTTACCTTACCCAGGCATCCATCTTTTCCATTCCAATCTGTTTCGGTCCTCTTCATTTCCTGATGTACGGCACGAAAACCATTACTTCTTTTGAGCTGCAGCCCAGCCATATGATATTTACCCGAGCAAACAAGGTTTCCAAAAGAAAAGCGTGATGGCGAATGAGTCACCGTTATTGCGAGTCGTTCCCGGTAAGTACAATAATACCCCGCTTAGTGCTGTTTCGTTATAGTGCTCTTGGTCCTGGAGAGAAAAATTTTTATTAAAAACCAGGAAAAAATCCAAATACAAGTATAGTTATGAGTCAGAATATTCACAGCTCGATTCGCATTTCCATATATACAATGGTATAATGACCCCTTTTAGCGCTGCTTCTGAAAGCGCTCTCTTTTCCAGAATGCATCCCGAGCGTTAAGAGGGGTATTATTGAATTAGAACTTATCAAGGAAGATTCTGCAAAAGTTTTGGGGAAATAAAAGGTTTTCGGATTTTTTTTTTTTTTTTTTTGGGGGGGGGGGGGGGTATCTGTATTGAGAAAAACCCCCCCCCCCCCCCCCCCCCCCCCCCCGCCTACCACCCTGCCTCGTCCTTTTTTGGGGGGGGGGGGGATATCTGTATTGAGAAAAGATGAGGTGCAAGCTTGTGTGAGTGGGTGCATGAGTGAAATAAATAACTTGGAATATAATAAATAAATTGAAATTGAATTTCTTTCACTCCGGTTTGTCTTGACTTCGCATCTGGTTTGAAAAGTAAAATCGTGACGTTTCATGCACCCTGTACGGAACAGTATGGCGATGGCAGTAAATCTACATTGTCTCATCCGGCATCGCAAAACTTCAGATTCTGAGAAAGAGCTTATTTCGAGGGTTGCCAAAAGTGCGAATTGCTTCCGCTGGGGGGACCTAACCATTGAATATGGGACCCTGTCTAATTCCTGATGATGTTTGGTGCCGAGCCAGCAGCCATGAAAACTTGGGAAATTTTCTTTTGAGCTACACGATATGCAAATGCGAAAATTCCGGTGCGTAAGAGCCGAGCAGATGGAAACACTGGCAGTGGGAACGTTTGGCATGAACTCAAATGCTCTTGTAAATATGGAGAAGGTTCCACTGAACCGAATCATCCGATGAAGAAATATAGCACGATAAAAATTAAATAGCGGAAATGGGAAATGTCGGCATAAATTTACTGAGAATATCATTATAAAATGTCAAGTGTGCCATTTCGATAACAAGAAACCATTCAGCAATGCCTGCGAAAAGTTTCAATGGAAACACTGGCGTTCCATTTCCCCATTCCTTCAGCATATTTGTATTTAAAAATTTACCAAATTTGGATATCTTCCGCAAATATCGGGAGGATATTATATAATACAGGGGGGGACCAACCCCATAGCTAGGTTGGCATTTGATTTATTTATTCAAAATAGCATCTGCATTAAATTGTATTGGAGGCAGTGAAATAGATGCTCAAGTTCTTACCCCAAACGAAAAATAAAAAAGGACGAGGCAGGGTGGTAGGCGGGGGGGGGGGGGGGGGGGGGGGGGGGGGGGGAGTGGGTAGGAACTTGGGAACCACCCCCTCCCCTATGAAAAATTTGTGTATCCGCCCCTGCATAGTGGCTTGTAGGCAGCCTACTGGGCTTCTCGGGAATAATGAACAGCAATGCTTTCCCCATGAAAGGTCTAAAATTCCAGTTATAGTTCAGTTTATAATAATGAAAAGCACTGAGTAATGCTGCCTGGTGAAAACCTTGGCAATGGTGGCAAGAAACTAAAGGCTCTTGTGGTCAAATCCTTGCAAACTTGATAGCATGGGGAAAACATGCGTCCGGATACATTGACACCCCCGAGACATCCTACAAAGTAGAGCCTGGGCCTCCTCACCGCTCCCAAGGGGACATCCCCGGTATATGCTTGTTCCACGAGTAAAGGGACATCCTCGGGATGTCCCTGCGCCCAGACACATCGATATCTCTTCTACTTATCTCGGGGACTCCTCGCTTTTCCCAAGGGGATATCCATGGGATATCCTTGGGATGTACTTGTGTCATGTGGGTATTTACTCATGTATCTTGGGCTCCTCTTATTTTTTATATTATGTATTATATATATATACGAGCTATATAGAAACCAGGGTGCCGAGAGATGTTACAAATGTATCCAGAAGATGGTAGGATACCAGGATCAAAGGCAGAGAATGGCTGGGATTCGAACCTGTGACACAAGCGCCTAGCGGATTGCGAGCCCAACACTGAAACCACTAGACTACCACACAATGCGAGCTCGCATTGAAATACTGACTTTCCAAACCTGCTTTTTTGGGCAGGGGAGGTAGTCTAGTGGTTTCAGTGTTGGGCTCCCAATCCGCTAGGCGCTTGTGTCACAGGTTCG